CATACTATAGTATGTGTCGTTTTTCACTAGTTTGGAAGTCGTACTATAGTATGTGTCGTTTTTCATCAATTTAAGTCATACTAGTATGTGTCGTTTTTCATCAATTTAAAAGTCATACTATAGTGTCGTTTTTCACCAGTTTGGAAGTCGTACTATAGTATGTGTCGTTTTTCACCAATTTAAAAGTCATACCATAGTATGTGTCGTTTTTCATCAATTTAAAAGTCATACCATAGTATGTGTCGTTTTTCATCAATTTAAGTCTTACTAGTTATGTGTCGTTTTTCACCTGTTTGGATTCGTATGTATATCATTTCCAGGTATGTCTAAAATGGGACTTTAGTTTAAATTTTCATTTTATCATGAGTTTGAAGAAATGTGAAAACACTTTTTTTTAATAGGATTTATTTAAAAAAGCTGGATGAGGTTGTGAAGAGATGAGTGGGTGTCTCTGCTCAAGCTGACCCCAAGAGAAGACTCCAAAACAGCAGCTGATGAGGATTAATTGATGACCTTACATTATGCACAGAGAAATATATGAAGGCTACTCTTGTCTTACTTTATTGGCATCATTTCTTGACAGAATAACAAATTAATTATCAGGCCTGAAACTTATTTATTCAAGTCATTTGGAGTAGGCTGTCATTGTTAAACAGACAACTCAACTTTGATACAGCAGCTTTAGAAAAAAATATGGATAAACATTTTGTAATCTAAAATTCTCATTTTTTTCAATTTAATACTTAACATAAACCAAACCTGAACATTTTTTATTATTTATGCTTTCTGCCCAAATTTGTTTTTAAATCAATATATAGAGTACAACACAGTGACTTTTCTAAATAGTAATATCTAAACAGTGTCTCTGTCCCTATGTCTGACTTACAGTATGATAGAAACATACTTTATGTATTAACTGGTGCGTAAATGTAATGTTGAGCAGAAAAAATATTGCAAAGTAACATGAAGACAATTGATATAAAGATTCGTTATGTAGGAGCTTCAGTGTTGAATATTCATATCTTCTATTAGAATCAAGTTTTTTTTTGTTGTTGTTGCGTCCAACAGTTCATTATATACAAGACTCACAACAGGTCTGAGTTTAAAGTCCACTAATGCATGACGTCAGCAGCATGAACAACACGAGGCTTAAAGTGGGCGTGGTCATAGATGCTTTACCTAAAAAATAAAAAAACAAGAAACTTTAAAACAAAATGTTGAATATTGATATGATTGATAATTTTTTGTAGCCTTACCCTGAATCCTAATCTTCCGGACTGGGCCATCTCCTCCTTCATAACGGCCACGGACCATCAGTTCAAAGTCTCCAAGTTGTGGCATGGGGAAGTCCATGAAGTGCCAGCCGGTGACGTAGACTTTGCCATAGATGTAGCCTGTTTTTCTGAACATTACCTGGTAAACAAGAACATTTTAGACCCATCTCTACAATTTTGCAGAACTGTGTCTCATTTTTTTTTCTTCTACCTTGTAGTACAGAGGGAAGGAAACATTTCCAAACCAGTCGTACTGGATATGATCCCACCACACGTATAACCACTTTCCTGTCCAGCTGATGTAGCGCCACATCCTGGGAGGCTCTGCAGGTGCTGTGGAGAAACTATTCGGTAAGCCTTCATGCACTGTCAATGACGTGTCATTTTCAGCATTCATACTGGTCTTACGTGGTCTCTTGGTGAACATCTCACAGTGTTCGCCAGGTGGTCCGAGCCCTGCTCCATTGAAGGCGCGGACCTCGATAAGGTAGTGTGAGTCTGGCAGCATGTTCTCCAGTCTGGTCTGATTAGTTGTTGCCGGAACAAATATGCGATGGGCTCCAGGCTCTGGGTCATCGTACTTTCTCCAGTATTTGACCTGGTTAGCAAGAAAGAGTTTAGAAAAGTTGCCACTTTGTTCATATTTTTAACACCTTTAGATATTCGCCAGAGCACATCATCTTTTTATGTGTGCATTGAGCTGGGCGATATTTTGATATTTTAAAAATATCTAGATAAAAATTTTTTTGTGATATGACACTATCGCTGTAAATGATTTTGTGTTATTCTTGAAAACCTTCCTGCTGTCTTCTTTCTGCCGTGGGCGGGAGGCGTTTAGCACAAGTAAGAGCAGCTTAGCTGATGAACAAAAAGAAAAACATTGGCTGTTCTTTTGGAGATGGTTTGGATTTAAATTGTCAGATCGAGGGGCAGAAAAACTATTTCTGAAGACAAGTTCCGACGAAGGATCGGAACTATGAATGTTTTTTGCCATTTAAAACAGCTCTATAAATGGAGTATGAATGTGTTAAGCTGCAGGTAGGCCTGCCTCGATTAATTGCATGATAAATGTTAATTATCGACCTTCACTGACCCCAAATTCATGTAAATTGTCCAAAATCGCATTTTTGGATCGTTAAAATCAGCTAACAGGCCGACCTTGGTGGGGAAAAACGACTGTCATGTCAAAGGTCCCAAAATTCACGGTTGAAACCCGTGCCTTCATGTAAAGAGATTTTCTCTGCAATAAGGAGCCGAGAACTTGTTTACGGATTTATTTATTTTTTAAAGCTTTGTGTGAAAAATGCTAAAGAGCTTAAACCACACAGAGCGTCTGCCATTTTGAGAACCGACAAAAAGATGTCAAGGGGCCTCCCTCCCATTTAATTTGTTATCGCGACAGACTTCAGCCTCCTTCCTTGAAACAAACCACGGTATGAAACTCATATCGCCCAGCTCTATTGTGCAATACAGTTGATCAATTGGTGCCTACTCTCGTGTAACAATGATAATTTTAGCATTTCTTTCAGTAAGGGTTTTTTTTTTTTGCTGGTTATGATTAGTAACATGTTCTGTCTTTAGCCAGACCCATGAAGAACAAAATATGGGATCCCACACAAAGATTTCTTTGAAATTTCCATCCATCACAAAAAGTGCTGTCTTTCTGGGGTAAGCAAAAAAATTTTTGTGGTTTTGAGTAGGTAAAAGACTGATGCTTATTCTTCTGTCCTCCATATCCTCTCTAACTGCATCCATCCTCTGTTTTTTTCCTGCCAATTGCCTAACATCATGTCTCACATGTCCATCTCGGTCTCTAACTTGATCTCCCAGTTGACCTCTGCTGTACCTCTGATGATATCATTCCTAATCCATCCAGTTCTTTCTTTTGTCTTTCCACTGTCTTGTAAATGTTTCCTTTGATCTTTGCTGCTACTCTTTGGTCACAAATCTATCCTGCAACTAGGGATGCACGATATTATCAGCATGGTTTCAACGTTAAATTTCAATATTGGACATCGACCATTCCATTAAAATAACTTGCCAATTTAAAAGGCGCTGTTTTTGCCTGCAGCGGCAGCACAATTCAAAATGTCGGCAGTGTGGAAGTTTTATTTTTCGTTGATGAGGATGTCTGATTCTGAAGATTTATGGACTACGTTGAGCCTCGCTATATTGTCCGCAGTCTGATATATTTTTCTCACGTAATGTTACCAAAGTTCCAAACCATCATTGACAAGATGATAGCCGATAACACTTGGGTGAGTTTTACCACAGATGTTTGGGCGTCGTGTTAGCCCCGTTAGCATGAAAAATGCATAGACAAAAACTTTGAACCGCTGTCCTTCATGCACAGGAGTGCAGAGGATCTCACACAAGTGAAACAGCATTGCAGGTGACTAATGCTAACTTTAACACTTTTCATTTAAGTTAACATGCTATGCATGTCATATGGCTGTTACACAATTTATGTAGCAAATGAGAGCTATGTTCTGACAAAAGAATGTATATAAAATGTGGGCATTGGTTATCGGCCAAAAATCCAATATCGTGCATCCCTACCTGTCCATCCTGCCATAAATCTCTTTTTCACCTCTTTACTACACTCCCCATTTTCCTGGATAGTACACCCCTAAAACATGAGGTCCTGCAACTTTGTGACCTGTGCTCCTTGTAGCCTCACTGTCATTCATGTACACATGAATTCTGTCTTACTATGGCTGACTTTCATTCCTCTCCATGTTCTCTTCTACTTGTTCTCACCACAGATCTCTCAACAACGTCATCTACAAACACCAGAGTCCACAGGGATTCCTGCCTGACCTCATCTGTTACCAGAGTAAACGAGAAGGGGCTCAGAGCTGATCCTTGATGCACTGTCCTCATACGTGTCCTGCACCAGTCCAACATACTTCACTGCCAGTCCAGATTCTCATGCAACCACACCCTGTCATATACTTTTTCTAAATCTGCAAAGATGGCATCTGTGGTGCTCGGCAAGAAACCATTGCTCACAAATCATCATCTCTCGTTAAAGTCTAACTTCCACAACTTTCTCATCAACTTAGTTCCCCTCTAGTTGCTACAACTCTGTACATCAGCATTGTTTAAAAAAAAAAGGGCACCAGCACACCTTTTCTCAAATTTAAAAATGCCATTGAATAATTGAGTCAAGAATTCACTGCCATTTTTCCTAGACATTTCCAAACCACCACTGGTATGTCATCAGGTCCTACTGCCTTCCCAGTCCAGTTTCTCTTCTTACCCTCTTCACTCATTCATTAGCTTCCAACAACACCTACTTCAATGCTGTGAGTCTTACTGCCCTTGGGTTTCTTGCACACAATACATCTGCATCTTGTCAGCCTGCTCTACCTTGTCCATTGTCCTTAGTTTTAGAGTTGCTACCCTCAGGCCTACGTGGCCTTCTAACAGTTGCACAATTTCTGTCAACAGGACTTTGTTAACCTGGGCTTCAACCAATCCAGGTGTGTTTGGATGAACTTCCTGACACAACCCTCACCAGACGACACAAGAGATGCAATAATGGCATTGTCCCCTGGTTTTAATGTTTTATAACTGAATATCTGTCAAAATGATGAAAATTCATTAAACTAGTGGATGACAACAGTCTCCATCATATGTTTTACAGCTCTAATTAATATGAACCACCCTACCAGCATCATCGGTTTTGTACCTGGTATCCTTCAATGTACTGCTGTAGACCTGTTCCAGTGTCAACCACTGGCAGCCACCAAACCACTGCTTCAGTGGAAGACACCGGCCTGGCATAGACGTCTGTTGGAGGTTCTGTGGGTACTGGACCATTTAAAAGAAAAAATATAAAAGGTTGGTCAGGATTCTGAAAATCTGCAAATTTCTCATGTATAACTGAAAATAAAATTCTTACCATCCCTTGGGTAGTAAATGACTTTAGTGAGGCTGTATGGTCCATCTCCTTTCACGTTAAAGGACTTGATCTTCACTTGAAACTCTCGAACCTGGAAGTCTTCCTCAGTTGGAATAAAGTAAGAATCTCTGTGTACGTGTCGTCTCGTCTCAGGGTCTGAGATAGTTTCGTACCACCAGTCGTAAGCATCATGGGGCTTGAACGCAACAATGTAACCAAACTTCTTGCCATAGAAATACCAGGGCTGCACAGGCTGAGTGTCACAGAAACAGATTCATGTAAAAGTAAAGACTGGGTAAGATAATTTGTGATGGAAAGATTTAGGTAAGACACTTACATTCCATGTGATGATGATCTCACCATTTCTACCCCCATAACCTGCTACATCAGTGGGTGAAACAACAGGAGCTGGAGAAAGTAGCTTGTCATTACTGTTTTATAACCCCTTCTGTATGAAACAGCAGTAATGCGTCATCTCTATATTCTTACCAGCATCCCAGGTTTTGATCTTGAGGGAAGGTATACTTGCTTCTCCACATCCATATTCATTAACAGCAATGATCCTGAACTGATACTCCATCCAAGGATATAAGTCTGTTACATCTGCTCTTTCCATAGTACCATCAAGGACTGTTGGAGCTGAAAGACACAAATGGCCATGTTCAAAAATTGATTCAAATTCTACCTATAGCTGTCAAAGATCAAAACCAAGACAGAATGCCTGTGGAGCAACATGACCCCCGGCTGGTTGAAAGCAGTACTCACAGGTGCTGGCATTCCTCCAGTCATCTTCATTCAGAGCCCAGTAGTGTCTGGTCTGGATGGTGTAGTAAAGGATGGGACTGTTGTGCTCAGCTGCTTTGGACCACAAAAGCTTGACCCATGTGTCACCAATCTCTTCCACTCGAATCACACCGGGAGGCCCAGGAACACCTTAAGGTTAATTGCAACAAGTGTAATAATTATGAAATAAAACTGATTAACCTAAACTTGTTTGACTTTTTCCAAGCACACTTATTTGGAAAATAAAAGTATATTCAAATGGTACTTGTATATTATACAAACTCCATGAGGTCAGACATTTTCAATGTCACTGATGGTGAGAAGACCTCATCAAGCCAAAATGAAAGTAATATGTATTCATTTTCTGAGTTCGTTGAAGCCATCTGTACAAACCTACAACTTTGAGGTCAGCATAAGCGGTGTCGCTATCCACCACTGTTTGAGCTGTGCAGGTGTAGCGACCTTCATGCCAAATCTGGAGGTTCTTTATCCGCAAGTCACCAACTCCATCTTCATTCTGACCAACGAGAAGCAAAGGACCTGATTTATGAAGGCTGTCAAGAAACATTGACAAATAGTTTGAAAGTACAATTGCAAAAAACTTGGGATTTTGTGTAAATAAAAACAGAGTGCGACAATTTAGAAAAGCTCTTAAACCCATGGTTGTGGATGAAATAAAATGTGGTTTCAACTAGTCCATTTTTAACATTTGATATGTTTAACATGTTCAGTGGCTGGCATGGTGGAACAGTGGTTAAAACTGACTCTTCTCAGCGAACAGGTCCCAGTCGAGGACCTTTCTGTGCGTCGTTTTCTCCAGGTACTCCAGTTTCCCCCCACAGACCAAAACCATGCATGTGGCCCTGTGATGAGACCTGTTCAGAGTGTACTCTGCCTCTTGCACAGTGACTGCTGGACATAGGCACCAGCAACCCAGAAACAAGTAATTCAATTCAGTTTATTTATATAGCGCCAAGTCACAACAGAAGTTGTCTCAGGGCACTGAACAAAAAGAAGAATGATGGATGGATGTTCAATTGTAAATTACACATGGCATTCTGTTCTTATAACATGTTTCAACTTTTTTTAAATTGGGGTTGTAATTTGAAGAAAATAAAGTCTTTGTACCATAACTTGCTCATAGTGCTGCCACTCAGTGTTAAAGTCAATGACTCTGAAGTCTATGGCCCAGATGAATGTGATGTCCAGCATGGGGTCAAATGAAGCAGCACACCTGAGGATCACCTCGTCTCCAACCATTCCCTCAGTATCTTCAGGAGCTATTGAGATACTGGTAGCATCTAAAATAAACAATAAAAAAGTTCAAACTAGGAGTTGAATGAAATAATTTGTCAGCGCGACTGTTCCCACCACTCAGTATGTTTAATGAAACCTTCAATCCTAAACAAATCAACAAACAAAAGTTTCCTATAAACCTGTCTTGTTTAAATATTAGGCAAATAAATTTTATGATAAGAATTATTCACAACACATACTTTGAGTGCAAACAGATTGTAAAAGATCTGTCAACTTATTGTGCGAGTTTTTTTTAAAATTAAAGCAAAAACCTAGAACTATTTCTTTCTCATCAAATAATCTTAGTTTGAATTCTGGCATACAAGGCGGCAGGTGATAATATATTTATTTAAAGAATGCCAAATGTTCAATTGTTTCCCCGTACATAGACAAAAGCTTGTCCACTCACCTGTGATGGTGAGATAACCTGAGCTGTTGCACTTTCCTCTGTCATTCTCAGCAAAGCAGGTGTAAAAGCCCTCGTCGTTTCTGGTGGCATTGAAGATCTCCAGACTCCCATCAAACAAGATGGAAATGCTAAAAACAAAGAATTAAACAAGCTTAGTCACCTGAAACACTCTGGAACTTCAAAGCCTTGTTATTTCACCAGAAGAATAAGTCGTGCTGACCGTGAGCTGTTGAAAAGCAGCTCTTTGCCCTTCGTCCAGGTGAACCGAGGTCTCGGAGCAGCTCTGGGTTTGCACTCGACCACCACACGTGCATTGTTGGCTCCAAGAAGCTGCTTTTTTACGGGGTTGAGCTCGAAAGTCGGTGCGCACGCTGGTGGCAGATTGTGATTTAGCATTTGTAAAGGTATTTAACATATCGTGTCCTGTGAACACTCACCGATGACTCGCAGCTCTGCGTTGGCGTATTTGATGCCCCAAAAATTCTCAGCGATGCACTGGTACATCCCAGAGTCGTCAAAAGTCAGACTGGAAAACTTGAGCTCACCTTTCCCATACTAAAAAACATACAAGTTAATTGTATACTAATTACGATAAAAAACATTAAAAAAAAAAACGTATTTTTCTTTTTTTTATCAGACTGGAAAAGTAGCAAGTTTACTTTTTACCATATATCCATCTTTGTACCAGCGGATAAAGGGGAAGGGTTTTCCTGATGCGACACAGCGCATCGTATGTTCTGAACCGATGTCCACCTGAGTGTTGTTGATGGTCTCTGCCCATTCTGGTGCAGCTAAAAGTGAATTACAATCATTACCAAGTATACATCCAAGAACATATTTTCATACGCACAACTTTGACTTTACTTACACTCAACATAGAGCCAGGCCTTGTGCCAGTCCTTTCCTTTAGTGTTGATGGCTTCGCAATCGTAAGCACCAACATCTTCATACTGAACATTGTACAGATGAAGCACAGCACCAGATTCGCTGATTTCATGATTTGCTGGAAGGTCGGTGGCATCTACTTTCCTCCATACAATGTGTGGGATGGGACTGAGTACACACAGTGATAGTTGTTATACATAATAGCCTAAATGACTGTATTGACTATAAACACATGAAAACAAAACATTTATGACCTCATTTCCCCTATTTTTGGTTGATTTGCTTCTGTTTTTACATTTTGTTTTTGATGAAGGTTGATGTTATTTTGAACCATGCACTGAGCAAACACTAACTATATTCAGGATGGGGGAGAGCGCAGTGAGGGTGTTATGGAGAAGGACTTTCGATTGACCTTGAGGAGGCTCTGGCCTCTTCAACGACTCAAAAGGAAAGCAGGCCACATCCCAGGTCATGCTAGGTCTGGGTGGGGAGCTGCTAATCTGGACTGGGTATATAGTTGACTGGTGGAAGGAGCACTTCCAGTATCTCTTTAATCTATCCCACAAGTCCAACTTTAAAAAGGCAACGAGGGGTGGAGGCAGTTACAATGGCAGAGGTCACTAAGGTAGTAGGAGGATGTAGGTGGCAGGGCTCCATGAGGAGAGATTTACCCTGAGATGCTGAAGGCTCTGGATGTTGTGGGGCTGTCATGGTTGATACGTCTCTTCGATGTCACATGAAGGACTGACACAACATCTGTAGAGTGGCAAACCAGGGTTGGTGGTTCCCATTTTTATAAAGGAAGACTGGAGTGAGTTCCATCTAATGAGGAATTTCACTTCTCAGACTCCCCAGAAACAAATATTACATGGTGTTGGAAGGAGACTCTGATTGTTGAACCTTGGATTCAGGAGGAGCAGTGGCTTTCATACTGGTTGTGGAACAATGGACCAGATTGTGGACCTGGAAAAGGCTTTTGACTGTTCCCTGAGGCATTCTGTGGGATGTGCTGTGTGTGTGTATGAGGTGCCAGGGTTGCTTAAAGGCTACCAGATCCCTCAATAACCAAAGCAGGAGCTACAGTACGCACAAAGTCAAGCTTGTTCTCAGTGCTGGTTGGGACTCTGCCAGGACTGCCCATTGTTTCCAATCCTGTTTGTAGTGTTCGTGGACAGGATTTCAAGTGCAGCCATGGATAGGAGGTTGTATAATTTGGGAACCTTGGAGACTTGTATTTGCTTTATACAGATGATGTAGTTCTGTTGGCATCTTCAGGTCATGCATGCACCGGGGCACTTTGCAGCCAAGTTCTCAGTGGGAAATGGGTCGAATGATCTCCGGGTCTAGGGTGGGGAGATGCATTTTCCTCAGGTGGAGGAGTTGAAGTATCAGAACGTCATCTTCATGAGTGATTGTAGGATGAAGCAGGATCAATGGAATGGGGCCTCATCCTCAATGATGAGGTAGTGGTTTTGGTCAGTTGTGGTGAAGAAAGAATAGAGTTGAAAAGCAAAGCTCTTGATTTACTGGTCCGTCCATATTCCAACTCTCACCTATGGTCATGATGTATGGATCATGGCTGAAAGAACGTGATCCCAGATACAAATAGCTGAAAGAAATTTACTTTGTAGGGTGGCCACGCTCAAGGAACTGTTATTTGGGGGACTTGGAATAGAGCTGCTGCTCCTTTACATCAAAAAGAGTCAGTTGAGATGGTAAAGGCACCTGATGTGGATGCCTCCTGGACCCTTTGGAGGTTTTCCGAGCACGTCCCACTGGGAAGAGGCTGTAGGCAGACCCAGAAATGGATTGGTTGCGAACACCTTGGGGTCCCCTAGTAGAAGCTGGAGTGTGTTGCTAGGGAGAGGGGTGTCTGGATTTCTCTTTGAGGCCTGTTGCATTCACAACAAGACTATGGATAAACTGTAAAAGTTGGAGCTGGAGAACATACTTCTTTAAGAAATAAACCCCAACTGAATTCGTAAAACTTACTTTCCAAGAGCAAAGCACTCCAAGGTGATGTTGGAGGCCAGCATGGCGGTGGTGTCTGGAAATTTCACCCTGATGTCTGCTGGATATTTTCTCTCCTCACCTGAGCCAATAAAAAAGATTATTATAATAAAGAAAAACATAAATGTTTTCTCTTGTTTAGCTGCAGCTTATAGTGACTGACCGTCATCAGGGTGTAGAGGGATGAGTGGGATGAACTTGGAGTAGACGCCCTTCCCTAAGATGGGACTAGAAACAAAGCATGAGTAGTTCCCTGCGTCCTGCGCTTCCACTTTTGCGATGTATAGGTTTCCTGTCTTCTGGGAGACAAACCGACGACGGTCTGTGCGCAGGAACACTGGGAACTCATTGTAGATCCACTGATAAGTCACTTCCTCTGAAATGGCAAATAAACAAGTGGAATATAGTAGGACAGAAAATCCAGTTTGGACAAAACAGCCTTTCTCATTCAGAAACTGATGAGGATTAAAATATATACATACGGGGCCAGACTTTTGGAGGGACACACAACAGAACGGCCCCCTGTCCTTCTTTTACATACACCGATTCTCTCTCTTCCTCAGGAAACTCTTCTATAACTGCATGATGAAGAATAATAAAACTTAAATAACTCAATTTATTTAAACACTGTAGCCAAACTTTCACACTGATGTCATTTTTAAGAAAGACTTGTTTTATAAAATGAAAGGGGAAATACAAAAAAGATATAAAAAGGGGCCCCATTTGGCTAGCCTGGACAAAGACTTCTGCCCTGGTTCTCCATGTTTTGTGTTCCATGACAGATGGCACGGCTGATAAGGTAATAAATACATGCAACTATCAGACATCACTTCAAAATTACAACTATCATTGCAACTATGAGCTTCATTTTTTTTTTCTGTCCGGCTCTCGCTCAAGGTGGCTGCTCTTGCCTTCCCTCCCGTTTTCCTTCCTCCTGCTTCGCTCTCTGTGTGTCTGAAGTGCCTGGTACACATCCCCTGAACAAAAATTAAGATTATGGATCTGGTGACCTGGACTTTCAACGCTATCAACAAATTTTTTTCAACAAAACGACAGTGTTCTGGAGAACCTGCTTTTCCAGCTGAGACTCATGCTGTGGGGTACATCATGGATCCGTGGGGAGTGTGGCAGTTGATGTGCCTCTTTGTCCTGTCTCAGGAGGACGTTGAAGACGTTTACATACTTGCATTTATGATAGCAGGGACTCTGCTTTTTGGCATCAGCGGGGCTCTGTTTTATCGACTTTTGAAGAAGACATCGGCAGCAGTTTCGGCCATGACAAAGCTTCCGAGTCAGTGTGAAGGTTTGGTTTGTGCTGCGAGTACTCAAAATCACTGATTTACGAGCTAAACCTTAAGATGGAGGCGATTTATGAGAATCGTAGGCCACCTGTGGCTTCTGGGACTGTCAGCGTGGTGGGAGCGACCTTGAAGGAGGCTCATAACATGGATCAGTGGAATGGATTCCCACAAATCAGGCAATTTTGAACCAGAAAGTTCCAGAGAGGACTCAAGGCTGAAGAAAAAATCTGCTTGAAGAAAATCTACAATTGAAGTTTACCTGAATCTGACTCACGTTTGACCTCAGTGACGGGCCGACTATCAAATTTCTCCTGGGTCATGGGTAACCAGGGATACAAGTTTCATCTATCGTACCCCACTTCTGTGCAAGCTTATCAGAACTGCCAGCTGAAACAACATCATCAGAAATCTGAAAAACGCTCATGGACAAATCTCAACACCTTGACATCAAATGCATATGTAATCATGTTTTAATTGTGCTTGCTGATAGTTTCGTTGATATCTTAAATCATGTCCTGATAGGGCAAGATGTGAAGAGATTTTTTTGCAATATATCTATCCTCATGGCTCTTCCCTTTTTCTGATCTAAAAGTATTATTCTGAATAAAAATAAGGCGATCGTGCTTTTAGCAGCAGCTTCATGCACTCCGTCTTTCGGACGGCTACATGTTCTCGTTGAATCTCGGTGCAGTGATAATAAAGTTTATTCTGATTTGCATTAATGTCACTTTTAGTCTGTGCTCACATCCAAACTTGACTCTGGCTTCTTTGCTGAGGACGGTGCCGTAGATGTTCTTGGCCACACACGTGTACGTCCCGGCGTGCTTCTTGTGGATGGGATTAGTGATAACCAAGTTTCCCCCAACTAGACTGTAGTGCTCATCTGGTTGCTCCTTCAGCTTAATTTCCCAGTTATCACGGCGCCACCTATATAAAAAAAAAAATACAATAATTGAAGCAATTGAACAAAAAATATAAAATAAAAGAATAGTTTCCTAACCTGTATGAAGCTGGTGGGTTTGCTCGTGCCCTGCAGTTCATGGAGATCCTCTTATCAGGTGAGTCATCAGTGTAGACCACATCTACAGGCTCCTCTTCAAATATGGGGCCATAACCAGTTGCGTCATCTGATACATTTTAACAACAAAAACACGTTTTTTAATTTAATTTGCTCACCAAGGGAATATTTCCCCATCCTTTCAAGAAAGTGAACTCACCTCCAAATATTCTGGGCTCACCAAACAAGATTGCCACTAGAAAAGAAAAAGAAACACGACGGCTAATGACAGTACAGTACTGTGTTTAAATGTGACCACAAGAATCTTTGTTTTTTTGCTTCATAACTTTGAGATGGCAGGCGACTTAATCTTACCTGTGAGGGACAGTGAGGATGAGAGGCAGAGTAGCAGCAAAGCTGCAGAAGCCATGGCCGTTACAAGATGGACACTCTGCAACAATATAAGTTTGATGGATGGACCGAGGAAGACAAACAGGAAGTTGATGGACAGGGCATGAATGGAGGAGGGCTGAGAAAGATAAAAACAAAACATGAGCTATAATTAAGATTAATATTAAAATGACTCATTTTTTTTGTTACCAACAGTACAAGAGGACTATTTCAATTGGAAATCTTTCTATTTTGCTTCCTTGCAACTTGGAATTCAACAGGATTTTTTTTCTATACGACTGGAATGATTCTCCAAAACTACTACAGCTTGCCGAGTTTATAAAATACATCATAAAGACCAAGATATTTTCCACACAGGTCAAATAAATTGTTGTGCTGGGTTCTAGAAAAAACATTCTGGAAACCTGAACATCCCATGAATTAAATCCAGTATTAGAACATGAAATCATGGAGCCATCACAGCTAACTGGTTAAGAGGGGATCGTCCATGGCATTTATCAGAGAAACATCCATGGAGCCAAAGATAACTCTGATGGAGCAGCTCTTCTGCTGTGAGGGGAAGAGCACCATACGCCTCACACAACTGGTCTTCATGGAAGAGTAGCAGGAAAGAAAAATGGGCCAAAGAAAATTAAAAGTAGACTGTTTGGAATTTCTCCGTCAGACAAGTTGAAGAAGGAGCTGTGGTTAGACGAGGCCAAACTTTTATGCCAGGGGTGTCCAAACCTGGTCCTTGAGGGCCATTCTCCTTTATGTTTAGAGGCTTCTCTGCTCCATCACACTCGACTTGAATCTATGATTAACAGGCTTCTGCAGAATATGAAAAGATATTTCAACTATTGAATCAAGCGTGCTGGAGCAGGGAGACAAGTGAAATGTGCAGGATGGTGGCCCTTGAGGACCAGAACTGGACACCCCTGTATAGGGACAACACTGTGCCTGAAGCAAATCTACAACCTGTCATCATGCTGAGAACAACATCTGTACAGTAAAGCACAGTGGCGGCTGTATCATACTGTAGATGAGAGTATTCCAGATGTGAGGCTGGAACAGAACAATCACCATAGACCCACTGCTGAAGCAACATACGAGTGTTTTCTGGAGAATCACTAAATGTTCTGGAAAGATCCAGTCAAAACCCAGAGCTCAATCCAACTGAGACTCTCCAGTTTGATTGCATGTAAATAAACACTTTTTTTATTTACACCAGAATTATTTTAAACTATTTGTCTTTATTTACCTTCATTAATAAGAAATAGTTTTGCAGAATTATTACTATTAATCAAATGAATAAATTCCATGTTGAAAGGCAACGGAATAGAAAGAACAAGAGGGATGAGAATACATTTGTAACTCACTTAATGTCAAGCCAGACGTGCTGCAAGACCTCCCAACACAGAAAACATTTTTAAGCTCAACTAGCTCGAGTCCTTCTTGCTGATATGAAAGATTCATGATGCTGGTGACTCAGCAGAAAATGTGAGTCCATAAACACTCAGACACACACAACTTTGTATTGCAAATCCTTGACGCAGTCTATATGCACAAAACACAGAACTAGACATTTCCAGGTTTACAGACCACCTCTGTAGGATGAAATGGGACTGCTGCTGTTTAAAGTCCCACCTTAACAGGATGGAAAACAAGAGCACACAGCAAGGAAGAGAGAGTCAGACACTGAGAGCTGCTGGAGAGCAGAAGGATAAAAATAGCAGGAAGGATGGAGGACAGACGCAGAGGAGGGAGAGGGTGGGTGACTTTGTGGACAAACAAACAAAGGTGTTAACTGATGCTGCTTTGTGAAATACAGATTAAAAGTGCTGAAGAAGCTGAAAGAACATGTAAAAGTCTAATCACTACAATGTTCATGCTCCACCACCAAAAAAAACACCCAAGTAAATCCATCAAGAGACTGACACTTGATGTAATCACTAAACTGTTCATGCAAGTTTAATTTGAACAGCTGACATTTGTCGAAAGCAGGAAAATAAGAGGAAAGCAGCAGAAAAACAGCAGAAATGCATAAAAAAGCTGAATGAAATAAGAAGGAAAAAAAACAAATTAGCAGAAAAATATAAAAACACAGCTGAAATAAGCCATAAAGATTTTAAACAGCACAAAGGATGCACCATTCATTTTCAATGAGAGAAACATGGCTGACAAAGGTATAGAATTCAAAAAAGTTTAAATTACACAAATATCAAAAGTCATGGCAGGAATGTCCTGAAGGAGCTGAACATTTTGATATATGAATTGTTGAAATAGCACAAAAATTGCAGAACAATTTACATTCCAATAAATGTACGGAAGAAAAACAAATCTCAATAGTGTGAATTCTTATTTACACTATTATCAAAATAGCTCAAATAAGAGTTTTTGTGTACGAGATAAACATTTTTCTGATTTTTTGTGTTTCCAATATTAATATAAACTGGTATTAAAGACAATGATCTAAATTATGCTCCACTAAAAGAGAATATTAGTAATAAAGTGGCGTAAGAAAGGCTGTTGCAACAAGACTAAAAATGCCTGAAGATGCTCTGAATTTATTTAAAACAAATCAAGTAAACCAAAAAGCCATGAAAATATTTATTTAATATTTATTATTGCCCATTACTGAAGGAGAAGGCAGAGAAACAATGTTTTTGCTCGTGTGCAATTGTCAATACATTTAGCACCTAACCCTAAGCGACGCCATACCGGATCGTTTGAGGCCCGGGTGAACAACAAATGTCACCGGTGCTACTGTTAGTGGAAGACCACAAGGAGGGAAACGTCTCAGGAGACAGACGGAGAAGAGGAAAGTCAAGAATGTAGGACTGAGGGTTGCAACTGTGGGGACAATGACAGGCAAAGGTAGAGAGCTGGCTGACATGATGCAGAGAAGGAAGGTAGATGTTTTGTGTGTCCAAGAGACCAAGTGGAAGGACAGCAAGGCTCGCAGCATTGGAGCAGGATTTAAACTGTTCTGTCATGGTGTGGATGGAGAAATGGAGCAGACTGAAGGAGGAGTTGGCAAAGAATGTAGCAGAGGTGAAAAGTGATGTGCTAGAAGTAGAAGGTCTGATGCTAAATGTTGTCAGTGGTTATGCTCCACTGGTTGGATGTGATGTGGAGGAGAAAGACGAGCTTTGGGAGGATCTGGATGATGACAGGAGCAAACCTGAATGGACATGTTGGAGATGGAAACGGAGGGGATGAGGAAGTGATGGGTAGGTTTAGTGTCAAGGAAATAAATCGGGAAGAACAGATGGTGGTGGATTTTGCCAAGAGAATGGCTGTAGTCAACACTTATTTCCAAAAGAGGGAGGAACATAGAGTGACCTATAAGAGTGGAGGAAGGAGTACACAGGTCGACTACATTCTGTGTAGAAGAGGAAATCTGAGGGAGATTGGGGACTGTAAGGTTGTGGCAGGGGAGAACATGGCCAGACAGCATCGGATGGTTGTGTGTACAAGACTGTTGTTGTGAAGAAGAGAAAAAGAGTAAAATCAGAGAAGAAGACCAAATGGTGGAAGCTGAAGAAGGAAGAATGTTGTGAGAAGTTGAGAGAGGAGCTGTTAAAGACTCTGGGTGGTGAGAACGAGCTTCCAGATGATGGTACTACTACAGCAACAGTAGTTAGAGACAGGTAGGAAGGTACTTGGTGTATCATCTGGACAGAGAAAATATAAGGAAACCTGGTGGTGGAACAGTGAAGTGCAAGAAGCTGTTAGGAGAAAGATTAGCCAAGAAGAAATATGACAGTGAGAGGACTGAAGAGAGACAGGAATATGAGATGCAACATAAAGCAAAGAGGGATGGAATGAGTACTTTGAGGAGCTAATGGATGAAGAGAATGAAACAGAAAGAAGAGTAGTCATAGAAACTGTGGAACAGGAAGTGGTGAGGATTAGTGATGGTGAACTTCTGAAAGCTCTGAAAAGAATGAAGAAGGGGAAGGCAGTAGGACCTGATGACATACCAGTGGAGGTCTGGAAATATCTTAGAGATGGCAGTCAGGTTTTTGACTCGAATATTCAATGGCATATATGGGTGTGAGAAAATTCCTGAGGAATGGAGAAGAAGTGTGCTGGTGCTCAATTTTAAGAACAAGGGTGATGTACAGAGTTGTAGCAACTACAGGGAAATTAAGTTGATGAGCCACACGATGAAGATCTGGGAGAGAGTTGTGGAAGCAAGACTTAGACGAGAGGTGAGCAGCAGTATGGTTTACCATGAAGGAGCACTACAGATTCATTCAACCTTTAGTTAGACAGGTAAATCCCATTGAGCCTCGAGGACTCGTTTACAAGTGAATGCCATGATGCCAGATGCCATCTTTGCTTTGAGAATGCTGATGGAGAAGTACAGAGAGAGTCAGAAACAACTCCATTGTGTCTTTGTGGATTTAGAAAAAAGCATTTGACAGAGTGCAAAAGGAGGAGGTGTGGTATTGCATGAGGACATCTGGAGTGGCAGAGAAGTATGTTAGACTGGTACAGGACATGTATGAGTACAGCAGGACAGTGGTGACATGTGCTGTATGAGAGACATAGAGCTTCAAGGTGGAGGTGGGAGTGCATCAAGGATCGTCTCTGAGCCCCTTCTTGTTTGCTCTGGTGATGGACTGACTAATAGAAGAGGTCAGGTATGAATCCCCATGGACTATGACATCTGCAGATGACATTATGATCTGTGGCGGAAACAGGTGGAAGAGAACTCAGAGATGGAGGTATGCACTTGAAAAAAAGACCAGCTATGTTGTATGGTCTAGAGACAGAACTGGAAGTGGCAGAGATGAAGATGTTGAGGTTCTCCTTAGGAGTGAAAAGGATGGAAAAGATTAGGAATGAGATCATCAGAGTTACAGCACAAGTTGAACAACTGGGAGATAAAGTTAGAGAGACCAGACTGAGAAAGTTTGGACATGTCCAGAGGAGGGACAGTGGGTATATTGGTAGAAGGATGTTAGAAATGCAGCTGCCAGGAAAAAGACAGAGGAGATAAATGGATGCAGTTAGAGAGGACATGGAGGTAGTTGGAGTAAGGACAGAAGATGCAGCGGACAGAGGGAGATGGAGGAGGATGACTCGCTGTGGAGACTCCTGAAGAGGGAAAAGCCGAAATGTTTTTTATTTTTTTTTTACTTTCCAAAAGTAATCGATGGCCATACAGCTACAACTGGTTACCAAATGGAGTCAACCCAATTCAAAATTGCCACCGCAATTAGCCTTACCCGTAAAAAAAAAAAATGCTACAACTCAGTAAGTTTCACCGATACCGAGCTAAAATTAGCTGAGGGTCATCCTCAACACCTTTTCAGATAAAAACTAACACAAATCTGAAAAATGTTTCTTCCCGATACAATTCTGATTCATGGTTCTTCTTCCTGGCTCGACTCTTGAATAAGAGTTTTCCGATGCCTGAATCCCTTTTAGCCCAGAAGCCATCAATTAAAGTAATTTCAAAGAAAACAAAGTTGGATGCCTCCATCTGTCTCATCCAACCAATAAAACAGAGAAAGCATGACGAGGCATCCACCCAACACATGCAGACTGCAGCACCGACTCCTCGATGACTCGACACTTCCATCCCTACAGATCACAGCTGCAGGCATTTGTTGCAAAAATCAATACGTCCTCCGTTTATCTTTGAGATGCAGCAAGAGCCGAAAAACAAACTCATCAAATCTCAGCTCTATTTCAAACTCAAGTCATGCAAATACAATAATAATAAAATAATTGAGCTATGCGTCTGCACATTCTGGTCAAATCATTTGAGTGTTTTTCTCGGTAATCCCAGCATAGATCCTCTTTGGACAGCGTAGCAAAATTTAGGTCAGATGTACTAAGCTGCTGGAGAGCAAATGCTGACTGCAGAAAAGAAAACACGTTCAAAAGCAACACTTCTGTTTAATTGTAAAATTTATGATTTTTTTTTTTTTAAACAGTTACAATACTAAAATTAGTCAAACTGAGGCTAAATGTTGCCAAAAACTGACGATTTGAAAGGAGAAATAATCCCTGCCCTTTGATCAGGAGCTAAATTAATCTGAAGGGATTTCTGAGTCCACATTTCTAACAGACCAGTGAAGAGAATGAAGATGGCGCACTTTGTTTGGGTTTGCCCCGTTTTCTCCCTCAAGTCCCAATCGTTTTAATAAAATCCTGCATTTCAATTCACTTTTCATGCACATATCCGGATTCTAATCAGTTTTTGAAGTTGACACACATGCAAGTGTTGAACAAGTGAGGGAGATAATTATTGATCGGCTCCACCTGCTGTGTTTGACTCCAACTACAGGAGTCCTCCCCTGAACGTCACCGCGCGCTCTGCATTGCGGCACTCCAGTCAGTACTGGTCCACTTCAGCACCACAGCACCCCGAAAACACCCCCCGACTTCACACGAACAGGGAGGCGTTCACAGTCTGAAATGGTGTCGTTCTTACCTTGAAGACGAGGGACAAGTTTTGTTTTTTAGCTGACAGTCGACTCGGCGCACCTGGACCCGAACATCATCCTGAGCGTCCCGTCCAGAGGTGGAGAGAACTTTCCTATTGGATGGTGACGATACGAGTGGCACGTGCGGCTGGCTGCGATTCTGAGTCTCTGATTGGTCGGTAGAGAAAGGGGCGGGAGGAAGACCGGAAGAATGTAAGAAGGACTGCGCATGCGCGCCTCAAGATAGGAAGTGAAGATAAAACTTAAAAAAACAATAATAACAAAAACAGTTACTAGTTAAAGTTAAACAACTTACTCAGTTGGAAAACTTCCAATCAAGTTAGATAAGTTTCATCAACAGGCTCTCTTATTGGACTCTGCTATATAAACATGCTCTCCTCATAACTGCATCATATGGAATAATGCTTATATTTTATATAAAAACAAATCAATATACTTAAATAATCGGGCTAACAAAAGTATTTATCTGATAAAGCAGTTACTTGACATTAATGGTGAATGGTATACTTACGAGAATTTTATTAACATTAATGATATCGATATTTCTCAAACAGAATTTGATTTGGTCATTAACTCTATTCCTCATAACTTAAATGCACTAGCACAAACCATACATTTAGACGAATTATACTTTTATGATACGGTTTCTATTGAAAGTACTAATATAATGCATACACATTTTAATAACAGGTTTATCAGATCTCAGTTAGTCACTTTCTCTACTCCCATAAGTAAACATAGATGGAGCTACTTAGGCAATAAACTATGGAGTTAAATCTTCTTATTGTCCTATAAATATTTTATCTAATAGAATTAAAGAATTTATATTAAAATTTTTACATAGATATTATCCAGTTAAAGACTACATTGGCTGTTTCTACCCAAATGTCAGCAAAAGCTCTTTTTGCCAGAGTGAAGGCGAAAGTATCGAACATCTATTTGTAGATTGTTTTCACAATATTCTGGTCTGAAATACAAAAACTGCTTACTGAAAAAATTAAAAAGTACACCGTGTTATCAAAAATGCAAATATTGCTCATCTTTAATAATTAATTTTTTTCTTCAGAAGAACTATTTATAATAAATCTAATTATAATCATAGCAAAATATTACATACACAAAATGAAGTGGAATGAAAAAATACCCTCATTTAATATTTTTAAAGAAACTGACCTAAAAATCTATATTGCCTCTATTGAAAAGCTTAATTTTAACAATAAAAAACTTCTAAGAACAAAAACTGTTATGCAGAAATTTAATTTTATCCTATAAGCAGATCCCTTTGTTATTATTCCTTTTCTCTTTGTATTGTATTTCTTTTATTGTTTCAGATCCTCTGCTATTTAAACTTGGAAGTTATTTTTGTATATTTGTTGATATAGTTGCATTATTTTTGGTTATGAACTGTGAGGTCTAGTTTGATGGGGTCTGTGATAGTTGTTCATCTCTTTTTTTCTAGTGTTTTGAAGCTTCTTTGGATTGGAAGATTTTTGTAATATTGTCTGGTTGAAATAAAGTTTATAATAAAAATTTAAAAAACAAAACATACAGCTAACATATAATAACTAAACCTCCCTATAAATAACAATTTTTTTTTAATCCAAAAATATAACGTATTAATCAGAAGAAAAAAACATTTGAACAGAAAAAAAAAACCTACATCTGGATTAAAGTAAATTTTACATTTACAGTGTGAACGCTTTGCTGGATGACTGTCAACACTAATTGAAGAAACGGATGCAGAATTTGTTTAAGCAACTTCTAATTTCATGGCAAAAACCAAGGCAGCCATGTTTTTAGTATTACAGTGAACCCTCGCTATAACGCGGTTCACCTTTCACGGTCTCGCTGCTTCACGGATTTGCATCGTCCATTGTGTTCTGCATTCTGATTGGCTAAACAGTCTCTCCAGTACAGAAGTTATTTGTAAAAAAAAAAACAAACAAAAAAAAAAAACGTTTATACAGTATTTTTATTTGTTAAACAAATGCTTGGGGCTGTAAAAAGGTTTTGTTCTTTGAATGTATTATGGAGTATTTCATTGTATAATAATTGTAAAAAAATAAAGGTTACTACTTCACGGATTTCGCCTATCACGGGTTCTTTTTGGAACGTAACCCCCATGAAAAATGAGGGTTCACTGTATACGCCACTTTATAATATAGCCATTTTTGTTTTTAATTTCAATTCTTATAATTACTTTTCATTTTACATGTTTTTTATACAACTGCATTATTGTTTGTGCCTCTTCTTTGTTTACAACAGGTCTGTCTTGTGAATGAATCCTCGTGGCTCAATGACACTAACCTGATCTAAAAACTTTTAAACTAAAAAAAGGTACCAGTTTACAATAAGGTTCCCCTTATAGATGCCTAAATAGTTTAGACACCTTAATTCCTCTATAAACACTTTATAAATCATTAATAACTGTTTATTGTGCATTAATTAAGGGTGACAGAGACTAAACTTACCAGTTTCTTGCCAAATAGTGAACCAGATCTGTTCACCTGTACATCTCAAATAGTTATATTAAACATTTCAGACTAAGTTACTACCTTGTAAGCACAATAAGCATTTGTAACCTATTTTTTTAGCAAATATACTTTAATACCGCATTATAAGTATCTACAACTAATATATCTTAAAAAAACAAGTTTACAAATGCTTGTTGTCCTTACAAGGTAGTAACTTAGTCTGAAATGTTTAATATTAACAACTTTTAAGTCGTCGCTTTATTAAGTGTTAATGTATCTATAAACTATTTATTGGCCATCAATAAGGGGAGCCTTATTGTAAAGTGGTACCAAAAAATTAAAGTTAAAACAATCAAAACAGAAGCTAAAATCAGCAAAATAATAGCTCAAAGGAAAAGTTATCTAAAATTTGCACACACAGCCAAAAGTTGGGTTAAAGGTATAAAAACTAGCTTAAAGCTAACATTAGCAAAACTGCTAAACTTAAAAAAAAAAAAAAAAAGAACAGTCATTCAAAAGCTAAAATAGTTGCTAAAAGTAGCACACGACTAAAATAGAGCAAATATGCTGAAAATTTCCTACACAATGTACTGACTGACAAGTTTTCAAGGATATATTATAGTAAAGTTCATTTTCAATTAAAGGTATATATTTTGAAAATAAATACAAATATCATATAAACAAATATAAAAAATAAAATCCCATGCTGCTGTATTCATTCATACCCACTTACCACAGACTCGTGTTCGGGCTGCTGTTTCCTACACCATTATTTTACATTACAGTATTCGTGTTTAGCGTAGATCTTAGATCCTTATTTACTGTTGTTTAAGTGCACTGACACAACTTTGTTGTGATTTGGCGCTATATAAATAAACTGAATTGAATAGTTTCTTTTTATACTTCATATTTTTGCTATTTTTGGATTTAAGTGGGACCTCAAATACATCCTTTCGTTCCACCTCATGTACCACATAATGAAAATTGGGACACTTGGTGGTGCCAAACACATTTCTATGTTTAATGATTAAAAAGTTTTTAAATTTTCAAACCAACATTTTTATGTTGTTGAACCCAATTTTAAATATATATTTTGCAATATCATAAGGTAAACAAACTGACGACCTTTCAAACTTCTCATGTAGCTTGAACTTTAACCATACTATCATTTCATATACTGTATTTTCACCAACATGTCCAGTTTTCACATTGCAACACACGAGTCCACAGATCATCCGACTAAATTCAGTTCAATTCAAAATACTTTGTTAATCCCAAAGGGAAATGAAATGCTGTAACTCATCATCCTGGTTTCATTAAGAGTCGTTATAGATGCTGATGGCTGTGAGCAGGAAGGATCTGCAGAAACTGGCTGCAGATGCCGATCCGTCCACCCGGACCCAGCGGGCCTCTCGGTCTTCCTGAGCAGCAGGACCACCTGAATGTTGGGCAGAACTCCTCCCTGAGTGATGGCCGCTCCTCATCATTGCAGACGGAGAGCTGCAGGTGTCGGGGATGATATTGGTCTTCTTGTCATGAGCCACGTTTCCTGCCAGGATCTCAGTCAGTCTGTCATTGGAGCACCTCCGCCAGGTAGACGGAGATGCATCCACAGCGCCTCCTTTACAACTCATTTGGGATTTGAGGTTGTAGTTGAGGTAATATTTGAGTTTTGGGATGTTAATTAGCTGCTCCCAGTTGTAAAAAAATATATAACTTGTTGTCATGGTTACGCATCATAACAAATGTCCAAAAGTAAAAATGTTTCAGTAAAAAAACTTCCAGCTGCACAGCATCTGATACCAGAGGAAGTAATCAATCTGAAAAACGCCATTCACATCCAGAAAGAGGAAATAAAGTTTTCAAAAAGCAATATCTCAGAATGACTAACAGCTCCTCCAACATGCAGCCACCTTGAGCGGCGCAACTAGTTGCTCTGGGTGTGCTTTAATTTTAAATTATTTTTCTTTAAAGTCCACAAACTTACAAAAATGTCAACTTTGGAGCAGCATCCAAAGATCAGACTTCGTTCAAAATTAAATGGAGGAATTTCTTTGTGTGCATTTTTTTATATATACATAAAAAAGCTACAAAAATTTGCACAAACAGGTTTCACCAGATTAATATGGCTCTCGTCACGGCACACCGTCCTGTTGGAAGGTGTCCGGCTGCCCTTCAGCGGTTTGTGATTCCTCTGTGTCGCTGTCGGAGGAAGAAAGATGGAGGAGGAAGGCGTCACTAAGAACGAGTTTCTACAAAGGCTGATCAACAAATTAGAATTCTGGCGTTTCCACTACACAAATATTACAAACCCAGTAGTGTATTGGTAATGCCTTTTCAAACAAAACAGATAATAAAACTGTTTTTGAAATAATAATGTGGCAGAAAACAAAGCAGACTTTTATGCGAGTAAAAGAAGTGAGACTGGAATATTTGTTGTACAAACCCCATGAGGTGAAAAGTTTTGGCTCCACAAGCAAAAAACAAGGTAAAATTTATTCATTTTCAGAACAAGTGAAAGTTAATGGAGACATCCGTACAAACCTACAACTGTGAGGTCAGCATAAGCAGAGTCGCAGTCTACCACGGTTTGAGATGTGCAGGCGTGGCAACCTTCATGTCAGATCTGGAGATTCTTTATCTGCAAGTCACCAACTCTTTCTCCGCCCTGACCGACAGGAAGCAAAAGGACGTGACCGACTCGGACTTAGAGGAAACAATGGAAAATAGTTTTAAAGTACAAAAGCAAAAACGGTGGGAGGTTGTGCAAAATGTAAATAAAAACAGAACGCAATAATTTGCAAACCACAAATAAAAAAAATAATAATGATTTAGTCATAGTGGGAACAAATAGTTTAAACATATAAAATTATACTATTTGCATTGTAGGGGAACACCTCAGCTCAAACAAACAACTTCTTAAGCTGACACTAATGTAATAATTAAAACAGCCACTGTGTTAACCTCACTGCCTTAAAAGTTTCCTTTTAAACGAGAAACAGAGGTGTCGCTGTTGACTGTCCATGTCCTGGAAAAGGGATGTCAATTTGAACAAAAAGGTTCTTATGGCGTTATCTTCATGGGAAAGAAAGTTTCCGATAAGACAAGATATCAACGTTGTGAGTTTTTCGGATCAAGGAGAAACGCAGCTTCTGCACTTGACCTCAGAGAGGAGAGAGAAGAACCTTCAGCAGACGATGAGCACACGAGAAGCACTTCTGCAGACGTCTCAAGACGAGATGGAAAAATGCAGAACCCAGAACCAGAACCGGGCTGGCACTGATCAGAGCCAGCTACCTTCCCAGAGTGAACTGTGAGTAATCAATCCAGAACAGTTATCCATGGAACCAGGTCCAGAGGGAGGATCACGGTCTTCCATATCCAAGGTAACTAGGGAGATTTCTCAACTTACGAGCTACCACGTGCACCCACCCGCCTGGTATCTCTGGAAACTGTTCACTGGACACAACTCATGGTTTCATCTGTTTGCTGGTGACCTTACTTCACAGTAATTGCACATTAAATTTAAAAAGAGTTCAGCTTAGAAATAAACCAGTCCTAAGTCTGCCTTTTAAGTTTCACTCATTTTACTCATCAATTAGACCTTTGATTCGAAGCCATTTCATGTTCAGTTAACCTTTTTGTCATGCATAATCTTCATCATATATATCACAGATTATTATTTTTATAATAAAATACATAAAATCAAATGAATTTGGCATTATTTTGGGGTAGATCGACTGATTGTAACTCTAAGAGAGAGGTGGTGCCCAAACAACAAGGTTATTTGCATAATACATGCATATTTTATGAGCTTAACTCATAACTGATAATTAACAATATATTTAAGCCAAGACATATTTTGAGTGTAAACAAATTGTATAACATCTCACCATATTGTGTATTATGCACAACATTTTCAAGATTGGGCCAAAGAGACGATAAATTATATTTTTTTACCATCAAATGATCTTAAGTTTGAATTGTATAAACATTTCTTTAAGGAATGCTAAACCTTTACTGTTCATTTCATAAAGCAGATACACAGACAAAAGCTTGTCCACTCACCTGTGATGGTGAGATAACCTGAGCTGTTGGACTTTCCTCTGTCATTCTCAGCAAAGCAGGTGTAAAAGCCCTCATCGTTTCTGGTGGCACTGAAGATCTCCAGACTCCCATCAAACAAGATGGAAATGCTACAAACAAAGAATTAAACAAGTTCAGTCACCTGAAACACTCTGGAACTTCAAAGCCTTGTTATTTCATCAGAAGAATAAGTCGTGCTGACCGTGAGCTGTTGAAAAGCAGGTCTCGGAGCAGCTCTGGGTTTTCATTTGATCACCACACGTGAAGCTGCTTCTCTAAGTGGTTGAGCTCAAGAGTCGGTGCGCACGCTGGTGGCAGATTGTAAATATGATTTAGAAATGGGATGTGTTTCACTGGATTTTGTGTTCTTCAAGAACTTACCAACGACTTGCAGCTCCACGTTGGCGTATTGGATGCCTCAACCGTTCTCAACGATGCACTGGTACATCCCAGAGTTGTCAAAAGTCAGACTGGAAAACTTCAACTTGACTTTCCCAATTTGTGAGATGGGACTGAACACTGATAGTTGTGATGACCAGGTTTCCCCCAATGAGACTGTAGTGCACATCTGGTTGTTCCTTCAGCTTAATTTCCCAGATATCCATGGGGCCATAACCAGTAGCGTCATCTGATACATTTGTTTTATTGTTTTTTATTATAAAAATCACACCTGAAGTGATACATTTCTTTAAATTTGTTTGAGAAACTATAGACACCTCCATATATTCTGGTCTCACCAAACCAGATTAGTAAGAAAACACGTTCGTGACGGGTTGCGTTGTCTAAAGTAAAATGTGACATGAAAATTTGTTTACAACTTTGAAATGGTTAAGTGATTTGATCTTACCTGTGAGTGAAAGGGAAGAGAGGCAGAGGAGCAGGAAACCATGGCTCACTGAGGACCGAGGGAAACAAACATTCTGAGAAAGTTCAAAACAAAACATGTTCGTGCTATTATCAAAACTGCTTTCTTCGCATTTTTGTTACCTACAATTGGTTGCAAAAGCATTAATCTTTAGTTCAAAGCATTCATTATTTAGTTGATACTTTCTCCGTTTTGTTGTTTTAAAGTTCGTGTTTACTTACCGTTAACACGGGCGGAAGTTAGTTAGCTTAGCTGAAGCTATAGCTAATTTCTTCTTCTTCTGTTTGCGTCAACTGTTGTTTTTAACCTGAAGGCGCCAGAGCCACCTACTGGTAAACATTAGGTATTACATCTAAACGTTTCACTGCAGTACATTTACACTGATCATTTCGAAATCCGAATTATTGAGCAAAATTGATCCAAGACACAAAAAATGTGCAAACGGGATCAAATTTTAACACTATAAATTTAAAATGACATCAAAATTATTCTCGAATTAAGTTGAAATCACGGCTTTAGAAGTTCTGACAGTTCACAACACATTTTTTAATCTAATCTTTATTTATACAGGTTAGTCTCATTGAGTCACAAGGACTCATTTTCAAGAGGGATTTGTTTTAATCAAAAGAACCGCAGATTAGGTACACACATAAACAATCATAAAAGCATATAAAATGAAAAGTAAATAAAAGTAGCGATTTTAAATTAAATTAAATCAAGCTAATTATGAAACGGGTAAAATCCTAAAAACAGGAACATGTCTGCGTTGATTTTTGCATTGAGCTTAATTGTTTAAAATCCCTTAAAGAGGTCAAAGTGGACAGCTTTAGGTCTTTTTGCGTGGTGTTCTAGGTGGAGCAGGTTGCCGAGTTCAGTCTGCACTGAGGGGACGCTGCAGGTAATGATGTCCTGAGAGTGCACGCTGTAGCTGCACTGTGACAAGTGACATGTAGGAGATATATGAAGGCAGAACAAGAATTGATTTAAAGATGAAAATCAGAAAACACTATAGTCACACAGAAGAAAACTTAGCCAGACAACCACAATAACACTATAAGACAATATTCTTTCATAATTTAAGCATTTAAAAAAAATAAACCTGTCTTTAAAACTTAACACATTCATCACCAATTTTGTTATAAATTTGTGAAATTCAAATGTAAAAATCCTGTAAATAAATGTACTGCGAAGCATTTTTTGTGTATTTATGCCTTACTTATGTTTCAGGTTGTTTTATCTCAACATTCAAACTCGCTTGTCAACACATAAGGTAAAAACATGTGTATACACTGAAACATTAAAAGATAAAGTCTTTGCATAAAGGTACTGCTTTTTTATAGTACATACCTTGAGTTTAAAATATTCATTTCAGTTTAAATTCAGTTGTGCAAGGAAATCAATCAGCTTATTATATTTTCACTTTAAACCATGATTACTTTCTTCACTTTGAACTAATTTGGAGTAATATCTTATCATTTAAAGAACAATAATTCAAGCTTTTAAACAGAAACTAAAGGTTGTTTTAATAATTTTACTGTGATAACGAACATTGATATTTTCATTGCCTCTGTGTCCCTGTGATGGACTTGCGACCTGTCCAGGGTGTCCCCCGCATCAAGGAGTGCATCAAGGACCAGCTCTAAGCCCCTTCTTGTTTGCTCTGGTGATGGACCAACTAACAGATAAGGTCAGGCAGGCATCCCCATGGACTATGATGTTTGTAGATGACATTGTGATCTGTGGTGAGAACAAGTGGAAGAGAACATAGAGGTGGAGGTATGCACTCGAAAGAAGAGGAATGAAAGTAACTCGTAGTAAGACAGTACATGTGTGAATGAGAGGGAGGCCGGTGGAACAGTGAGACTACAAGGAGCAGAGGTCACAAAGGTGCAGGACTTCAAGTACTTGGAGTCCACTGTCCAGGAAAAAGGGAAGTGTGGTAAAGAGGTGAAAAAGAGTCCAGGCAGAGAGAAGTTTCAGGAGTGATTTGCAACAAGGGTGGCAGCAAACATTACAGGAAAATTTACAAGACAGTGGTGAGACCAGCTATGGTTTGGAGACAGATACATTGACAAAAAGACAGGAGAAAGAACTGGAAGTGGCAGAGATGAAGATGCTAAGGTTCTCCTTAGGAGCGACAAGGCTGGATATGATTAGGAATGAGATCATCAGAGGTACAGCACAGGTTGAACAACTGGGAGATAAAGTTAGAGACCAGACTGAGATGGTTTGGACATGTCCAGAAGAGGAACAGTGGGTATATTGGTAGAAGTTAGAAATGCAACTGCCAGGAAAAAGACAAAGAGGAAATACACGGATGCAGTTAGGGAGGACATGGAGCAGATAGAGTGAGGACAGAGAGAGATGGAGGAGGATGACTCTCTGTGGTGAGCCCTGAAGAGGGAAAAGCCAAAAGAAGAAGCTGAGTCTGAAACAATAAAAACAAAGGATTTGAAATCTTAAAACCAACATTTATTTAATCTTTTGACCTTAATTTAAAATACAAAATATTTTGCAATATCATACTGTAGCGTAAATCATTGACAGCCTGTCATGCTTCTCATGTAGCTTCAACTTGAACCAAAACGTCATCTCATAAACTGTATTTTCACCAACATTTATAACAGCATGTCCACTTTCCACACTGCAGCACACCAGTCCACAGACCAACCTACTGAATGCTCCAGGCGCGTTTTAATTTAATATTTTTCTTTTGAGTGCACAAACTTACAAAGATATGTCATTTTCTTCTAATGTCTAATTTAGGACAGCATCCAAAGCTGTGTTGTTCTAAATTGGGTGTGTGAATTCCTTTGACTGTGCCTTTTCTTTAAAAAAATAAAATAATAAAGAAGCAGAAAATGTGTGTGAACATTCAGAAACAAACAAGTTTCACAAGATAAATAATCCTCTTTGATACCTGGGAATAGTAGGCTAAACAACTGAACCAGCAAATTCACCTGACGGCATAAAAATGTTCAATTTCACACCAAACTTAAGAGTAAAAACTGGAAATCGTCTACTCACACGTTATTTTGTCACCCCTTTCCTTTAATGCATGTTGGTTGAGGTCAGGCTCTCACCTCTGACCTCTACGCTCGAATCAAGCAGGTATTTACAATCAAACAAACAAACAAACAAAATGTCTACACATCGCAACTCTAAAACTTGATGCAAGTTATGATAAGACGAGAATTTTCTCCAAAACCAAAATATGCAGGTGTGTGTGGGGGGGGGGGGGGGGGGACTGCATGTTGAGAAGAGAAACAGACTGTTTGACATACACTGGAAATTAGACTGCTTTACTTATAAATAAAAAAGCTACAGTTTACTTCACACACGCAATACAGAGGAGCATGCATGTGCTGCACCCAAACATTCAACTAAGCTGGATTTATATGCAAAAATAGAAAGCTCACGAGTGCTGCGCTCAGAAAGAGAATGCACTGCAGGAGGTACAATGCAAGAACCAAAGTCAACAGTGTTTATTTTTTAAAGTGAAACAAGCAACGGATTCATCCTCAAACATTTTCAGTGCCATTATTTTCCCACCCCTTCTGCTTCAGATTGCTACTGTTACTAATACGACGAAACGCGGTGGTGAATTTGGTTCCCACTGGCAGTTACCTGGTGAGTAGGTTGGCAGTTGTTTTCTGCTGCTGAGCAGCTCTGTATCAAGATGACCATGGTCAGAGGAGAGTGTCTAAAATAAATGCACAAGCTCAGATTTTAAATGCTTTTCCTCATGTCAATTTGCTTCAACCTTTTGACAAAATGGTGTATTATAATGGTGTAAGTGGTGATGATTGTCAGCAAGGCCCCCAAAACAATCCATAGCAGAAATTATTTCTTCTATATAATGCCATCGGACCAAAGTTTTTACCCTCGACTACTAAGTTGAACCCGAAAAGGCTTTTTGGCATTCATTTTCATTCAACAGTGCTTAATGGGACGGCTGAAAGACTTGACATATAAAATAAAATACAGGGACTTAAAGCCAGTGTCTCACTGGCCTGCAACTGCTGGTGATAATATTTGACTGAGTCACACACAGCATGCTGGTCAGCTGGTTGCAAAAACTCAGAAATCCAAAACCGCAATGGAAATTTTGGGCTTGTCTCGCAATTTTGAGCAGCTTATACTAAATACTATCGTTAGTAAATAGTTGGGTCACCACATGCTACCATAACAGTGTCAACTGTTAATTCAATATATAATTTTGACGTTTTAATGGTAGTAGTAGAGCTCAAACTACTGCATCTTTCATATTTGTTCAGGTGGAATGACCATATGAATGGTGTACCGCAAGGTTTAGTCTTAGGACCCACACTCTTCCCAATCTACATAAGTAATGCAGTTCAGATCATTCCTGATGCATCTTTACATTTCTATGCTGGAGCATTTGGGCAAGTGTATCCTTGGAGAGACCACTCAAAAAAACTTGGTTAGACTAACTCTACTGGAATAAAAGGACTCAAACCATTCAGGCAAAACACCCTCACAGCCCAGAACAGAGGCACGGGATTCACAGAGTTCAGGTTTTCATTTGCAGTTTGTAATCTGAACATTTTCTTACGTAATGGTGGAATTTTGTAGACTTTTTTCCCCTCATGTGCTCCGTGCAGTTCTGAATTCTTACCTAGATTTTAAAGTTGTTACAAGAGTAAGGTCACAAGTTGGTCTGCATGTTGTGTAGTCATGGGGTTTTGTCCATGAAGAAACATGTAACCGTTCATCTTAGACACCGTTTTCTGCAAAGGCACTAGAAACCACACAGAGAGCTTTGTAATCATCCACAAAGGAGTAAATATCCAGAAACTACCACAGATACTCCCAGTAAACCTTCACGTGTAGCATCAGCAGAAGTAGAACCGGTAAAATTAATGTTGAGGTGAGATAATTGTGACAATGACTCTTGTCTCTGGTCTTGCTGGACCAATAAAAATCAAAAACACATGATGAGAAAACGAGGCAACAAACAGGCCAATTGGAAATAAATTTTGGAGTATAGGCTGGCTGGTGTGATGCCGACTTCATTTGTTCCTACACTTCCAGGCAGCACAGATGGACAAACCTGACCTGGAAATACAGCTTTCTTCTTTATTTGTGTGTACAAACAGTCCCTTTATTAGAAAAAGAAAATATAATAATAATAATAATAAAATTACTTTGAGTCATTCTTTTCACAGCCATGCCCACAAAGACACCACTGTCATGTTTTCTCTATATGTCCAAACGCCATACATCTAACACTTTCTGAAAACAAGTCAAACAAAATGCCATATCCAGTGGCTCGTGCACCAAATACCGTGTAAAAATGCAACTTACCTCTGCAAAAAAAACTCACACAAGGTTGTAAAATGCGTAACGGACTCACGAGTTACTTTCATGCAGGTGCTGTAAATGTGAATCGATGCATATTAGCCTGCCAGCGGGTCATGAAGAGTACTTTCATTAAAATATATAAATATTTGATACATCATATTTAGGGATTAAATGGCACTAACACACAATTGGCCACACTCGTGCTCAGTCTGAGTGGTAAAAGCCCTCCGGTACATTCTATATTGCTTGCTCCTCCATCTTTTCTTTCAGTGGTTTGGGGGGCGGGGGACTGTTTGTGTGTTCATCTGGAGGTCACAGTGTGACTGGGGCTGATGGGTGTGGAGATGATGACATGTCCGCAGTCTAGGTAGGTAGCCTTGGTCACCAGAAAGACAGTCACCAGGGGGTAAAAGTATGTTACTATAACAAGTGTCAACTCAGCAGCTGTCACCACAGCGATGCTCATGTTTGCCAGGGTAACGCTGGGTGGCCATTGCAACCCCTGCAGTCAGGCTGAAGCACGTTGTTACACAAATGAGTTCATGGCATTGACAGGCGACGGGGCCTCAGAACTCTCGTTGCCTTCATGTGTGTCTTTCTCTTTCTTGCCGCTGTACTGGCCAATAAAGGATCCGTCCTCGTTAAACTGTCCGTCCCCACCCTCCCCGTAGTCCACTAAACTGTCGTCGCTCTCGTCGCGACGCACCGTCCCGTTGGACGGCGTCCGGCTGCCCTTCAGCGGCTTGTGATCCTCGGTGTCGCTGTTGGGAGTAAAGAAGGAGTCATTAAGAAATAGTTAGTCCGTAGTTTGATCTAACATATTAGCGTTCTGGCTTTTCCACTGCACAAGTGTTACAAAAACACATGGTGGGAGCAGTTCTTCATACGTAATGCCTCTTTTCTACAGCTTGTTATCTTATAGGCAGAAGAGTTTGCATTAGATACAGCATGGTTTCCAAAATGAGCACAATGAAGAGTAAATCTGGTAGTTTACACTTCATGGTTCTTGTACAGTGGAGCAGCTCAGTTAAACATGAGTATTGTTGCGTTAGTGCTGTACTTTTCAAAGCCTATGCAAAGACAGAATGTTGTAGATGCGTGCCATTCAGCCTTTTGCAATGTACCTGCATTAAAATGCAATTTGTAAAACAACTGCAGTCAATACGCTAGCAGGTTACATGCAAGAATCCAAAATGCAATCAAAGAGTCACAGCTTCATTCGCTTTTATGCTAGATTATTGTAAGAACACCTAAATCTCTTCCACTTTATACGAGGTTTTCAGGATGATGTTAGACTTCAACTCAACTATTGTGTTTAATGGACTTTTTGTTAAGATGAACAATTAATAAACCTGTTTATTAAAAGTAGTAAAATATGATTTTTTGTCATTGTGTTTACTATGTCACAACAATGAGTTTTGTGACATAGACCATTTACACTTGGTATTAATGTAAGTAGATAGAGTACACTCAACAACACTGATGGCATATATCTGGTTGGTCAGCCAATGTTGGTAACATTTTATTTCATATATGGTGCAGCCACCCATCCATTTTCAAATGCTTGTCTGATATTAGGTAGCAAAGACATAAAGTCAAGGAGAGAAGCCCAGATAACTTCCCAGTGACAATCTCCATTTCACAGGCCAGGGAGAATTCCCCCACAGATTTGTGTCTTCTTGGACTTTCTCTTGGGAAGACATACCCAAAACACCTCTAATCATCAGGAGATGATCAGGAGACATCCCAATCACACGCCTTAACCCCCTGTACTGCCTCCTTTCTATGCAGGGTAACAGAAGCTCTACTTCATGTTTCCTATGGAAAACTAAGCTTCTCACCCTATCTACCTGCAATCTACCCATCACCCTACAGAGGAAAACTAATTTTAGCCACTTACCCAGGATCTTGTTCTTTCCATCATGGCTCATATTACATAGAACAGAGAGGGGCCAGTAAATCATGAGCTTTACCTTTCGGCTCAGCTCTTTTATCACAACAGACTAAAGGAACACCTTCATTATTCAACACAAAAGCTCAAGTCCATCTATTCCATGGTACCATCACTTGCGAGCAAGACACTCGGGTACTTGAACTCTCTGCTTGAGCCAGAGTCAACCCCAACCTAGAGAGAGCATTTTACTCGTTTTTAGCCAAGAACATTGCCTCAGACCTAAAGGAGTGTACCCTCGTTTCAGCTGCAAACTGCTCCAATGCACACTTAAGGTCATGGTTCCAAGATGCCAACAGAACCACGTCATATGCAAAAACACCTCAAGCTCCTATCCAAGAACACCACCCTGGTGGAGTCTAACCTGCACCGGCAAAAGGCTCGACTTTGTGTCGAGAATATGGGCGCAGTTCTTGCTTTGGTTATACAAGGACCAGATAGATTGTAAAAGGGTGATCGTGTCACCCCATATTCCTGCAAGACACCATCAAACAATACTTTGAGGAACGTGGTCATAAGCCCTCCCCAGATCCCAAAAATGAGTGGACTGGACAGTCGAACTCTGATGCCACCTCAGCAACCTCAAAATCGCGAAGCTCTGGTTAGTTACGAGCATCTCCCGAGAGTAGACTTTCCCAGAGAAGCTGAGAAGTGAAATCTCCCCAATAGTTGGAGTACACCTTCCACTTTCCCTTTAAAGAGTGTTTACAAATTTTTACTAGTAAAAATGCAAATGTATTTTAGCTACAATGAAATGCCATCATCACATGTCTACGTAAACATTCTACAAAGTATTCTGTGGAATGCAGCGTTCGATAATACCGATTTCCAGAAAATCTCCCGCTCGTGTATCTCCATTTGTGACTTTTTAGTGACAGAGAAAACAAAACGGCTAGATGTGATCACTGACATGTTAATACCAGGTGTAAATCAGATTTCTGTAGACCCGATAGACTGAGTTTGTCTCTGCTTTTAGTTCCACTAATGTTAGAAAGAGCCTAAAAAGCATTTTAAAGGGTTGCGTGGAATGCATGCTGGTTTTACCGCTGCTTGCCTTACCTCTCCATTGACCTAAACTCCCCAGAGCAGAGAGATAAAAAATGCAAGTTTACATGAAAAGTAGTTCATCAGCCACAATAAGTCTCTTTATACAGTGATACTTAGAAAGAAAAAGCATGAAAATGGAAACAATGAAAGTTATAACATTAAAAGACACACAGACAACTAAATTATTTTATCAGTCCAGATACAAGTCTGATTCTTGGTTATATTTTCCAAAAGTGTATTGTACTATACAAAGTATTTTATCATACCAGAAAATGACTGAATTAATAACTATTATTCGTTTTTTCAGCTCATGGTTAGTGTTCTTGGAAAGACTTGAGATATTTTGTTGAAACTTTAAATATCTTGGATCATACGAAGCCTTTTTAAATTAGATGATCAGCGCATAAGAGAGTTAGTAAACAGAGTAGTTTAGACTTTGTCTTGCCTCTATGCAGTTTTTGGAAATGGAGTCTGGTAAGGAGAATGTCTCTGCAGCCTGGTACCATGATTTACACATAAATAGCCGAGTCAGAACAATAAATGGGAGGGGGAAAAAGGAAAATCACTACTATTTTTTTAATTATTGTAGCTACGGGATTCATTTCAGATATTTGTTATCATCTCTCACCTGTACTCCCCAAAGGTTCCATCATCCTCCTTCATGGGCTGGATCTCAGGGTCTTGGTGAGCATCTTCTTTCTCTTTCACTGTGGATGCCACACAATATTTTCTTTTCAATACTTGCCCATGCAGGTCACTAAGCTCGTAGTCTTAACACACACCAAACCTTGCTGTACCTGGATATTTGCCACCTTTGTTTCTCTTGATGAAGCAAACTATGAGAAGCACGAGGATAAGCAGAGCGATGGCACACATCAGCCCGATGAACCAGCCCTGTGTGGCAATGTCTATCTGCCGATTGGGAACAGCTGGAAACGCACAGAAAACACAAAAAAGGGAGAAACACAAGGAGACAGCAGAAATGTCAGTACAGGTTTAAATTTAGGCTGATGAAAATGTGGGATTTGCTGTCTTCATGCAGAGCAACATGGAGGTTAGGAGACTCTGAAAACACTAATGGGATGTTAAAATGAGTTAAAAAGCAGAAATAATAAAAAAGTTATAAAAAAAATGAAAATGGCACACAAGTTATAAAACAATAGAAATGTTTTTACATGACATGAAAAGACTACTTGGACTCTTCTAGGAAAATATTTTGTTTCTTTTCACCTAAATTAATCTTTTGTATAAACGGTATACTGTACATCTATAACTTGTCTAAGCTTTTTATAAGCTGCGTCTTAAAAACATTTCCACATTTAAATTTTCTCTTAGAATGTCTTTTTTTTATTTTTATGAAGCTGATTTTTGGTAAATGCAAAAATAATTCCAATGCACATGCATTGAAATGTATGCATGTAAAGTGCAATAAACTATTCTCTTTTTTTATTGGATATTAATTATCTGAAAATAGCATGGTTCCCAAAGCTGGTCCCTGAGGAACACCACTCTGCTTGTTTGCAGTGGTTTGTTTGCTCCAACACACCTAATTTGAATGAAAGCATTATTTTCAGGCTTTTGCCAAACTTAAGTAATTAATTTACTGAATCAGGTGTAATGGAGCAAAGAAACAACTAAAACATGCAGGATGGGGTTCCTCAAGGACCAGAGTTGGGAACCACAGAAAATACTGTAGACCCTAAAATCTCTAAATTGACCCATGCATTAAACATTTAATAATAACCTATGGTGTCTCTCCTTACAAAACAATAATAATGTAAATTTTTCATTTACCCTTTATTTATCCAGGTAGTCTCATTGAGCCACGAGAACTCATTTTCAAGAGAGACCTGTTTAGGGAACAGATGGGGGTTAAGGGCCTTGCTCATGGGCTCATAGTGGGCCGAATGAGGGTGGGGGCAGGTGTGGGTGCTTCACCTACCCCACCCACATTTTTGATGTTGTCAGTACCGGGGCTTGAACCGGCGATCTTCCAATCACAGGCCCACCTTCTCTAACCTCTGCATCACCACTCCCATAATAATAATAAACCTTTAGCATCTAATTAACTCCTAAATCTACACAAATGACTTTGATATTCTCTATTCCAATTAATGTAATTTGATTAAAAAAGTGCTTTTTATTTTTCCATTCACTTTTTCAAGTTGTGAATTAATTTGAAAGATCAGCACTTGAAACGAAAAAGAATAAAATAAAATAAAAATAAAAAAACAACACAAAAACATCTGATTTACATAAAATGAAACAACGATAAATTCACGTTAAATGCACAGTGGCCATCTAATGATGAGACAATGCCGACAAACACAAAACTGGCAAAACAAAAAACACGAAGAAGACTATCTATGCTGAGGCATGCTGCCTCACCTGGCACTGTAACCAACACTTTGTCTGTCTTGTGGACCGCCTGGTCAGCGCCGTCTCTAGCTACCACTCGCACCCTATAGGACGTCCCCGGCTTTAAGCCTTTTATCGTATGTGAATGCGTACCGTTTACCACCTCCCTTTTCCAGTCCTCTTCACCTGGAACTGATGCTGCGGATGAGGAGGGATTAAAATTAGGCAGCCTTGTTATTTTCCAGTATTTGAGGAGTTTCAGTAAAGCAGCATGCACTGATAATTCTGTAAACGCAAACATGAAGAGTAGCCTTACTGTTTTCTACATTATATTCCACAAAAACATTCTTTTGGAGTCCAAAGTATTCCCAACTGATCACTGCACCTCCCTCAATCGCAGACGCATTAACCGTGCCAAACACAGGGCCAACAGGAGGCGCTGAGCACAAAAAAGACCAAAAAAACTGTTCAAAACACAAATAAAGTTTACAACAATCTAAGTGAAGTACAACGGAGCTTTAGGATCACACTAAGGAGAACAAATAAACTACATTACGACAAATAAAGTCATAAAATTACAAGAATAACCATAATATTACGAGAATAAAGTTGTACGAGAATAAAGTTGTAGTATTACGAGAATAAACTCGTAATACGTTCCTGGGTCAGCTCGCACCTGCTGTGGACAGCCTCCAATGCGAGTCACTGTGTTTATGAAGTAGTCTGCGATCACTTTTGAGTCACTGTTTGTGAAATATGCCTCCAGTGACATTATGTGACAACTAAATCCGTCAATGCAGCCATTAATTGCAATTCTATATGGCTTCAGTTTATCATAAGAATACATATGCCACAGTGCATTGGGCGTCCTGCTGTTGTACTGCCTGCTTACCTCCCCCCGCTGAGACGCTCCAGACCGATACAAAAGAAAGTTAAATCTTGGATGCAGAATAGTGGCCTCATACTGAAAGACTGTTTTGCATGCACAGACTGGCAGGTCTTCAGGGAAGCTGTTGAAAATGAGGGGACGCTAGACCTGGAGGAATACACATCCTCAGTTCTGGGGTACATTAGCAAATGTGCTGATGACGTCACCACCATCATATATGTTAAGAGTTACCCGAACAGGAAGCCTTGGCTAAATGCAGAGGTTCGCACCCTGCTGGAAGCCAGGAACATTGCCTTCAGGTCTGGAAACGCAAGAGCTGAGAAGGACAACGAAAGAGCTGGTTGCTGGTATTAAGAGGGCCAAGGCCACATGTGCACAGAGGATCCAGGGTCAATTGACCTCACAAGACCCACGGAGCATGTGGAGGGGCATTACGTATATAACAGATTATAAATGCAGAAGTGAACAATGCCCTAGAGACCCATCACTGCCTGATGCCCTCAACAGGTTCTATGCACACTTTGAAGACCCGAACAGACCACCCAGCACCACACTCACCTCACCGTCAGAAGAAGAGCTTCTCAGGGTGACCTCAGCCGAAGTGAGGAATACTTTCAAGAGGTTCAATCCTCACAAAGCAACTGGCCCAGACAACATCCCCGGGAAGGTGCTGAAAGGCTATGCCGATAAGCTCTGCAAGATGATGGCCGACATTTTTAACTCATCACTCTTCCCACCTGCCTGAAGACTGCCACCATCATCCCAGTCCCAAAGAGCTCTACAGTGACCGGTCTGAAGGACTATCGGACAGTAGTCCTCACCCCGATAGTTGCTAAATGCTTCTAAAAACTGGTCATGACTCACATTAGAACAACCATCAACATCAACGAGGACCCTCACCAGTATGCATCCCGTGAGAACCGATCAACAGAGGATGCAATCTCCTCTGTGGTCCACACTGCTCTCACCCACCTGGAGCAGAAGGACTCCTATGTCCATATGCTCTTTGTGGACTTCAAATCCACCTTCAACACCATGATCCCCCAAACCCTGATGGACAAACTACTCACACTAGGACTAAGCCCCTCCATTTGCAACTGGGTCCTGGATTTCTTAACAAACAGACCTCAGTCTGTGAGAATTCACAACTTCTCCTCCACCATAACCCTCAGCACTGGCTCCCTTCAGGGCTGTGTGCTAAGCCCTCTCCTATTCATTCTGTTCATGTATGACTGTGCACCTACGCATCCAGGCTGTCACATTGTAAAGTTTACAGATGATACAGCAGTGGTGGGATGCATCACAAACAATGATGAGTCCAGCTACAGGCAGGAGGTGGAACACCTGGAGAGCTGGTGCAGGAAGAACAACCTTTACATCAATGTGAAGAAGACAAAGGAGAAGGCCGTGGACCCCCCCCCCCCCCCCCGAACATAAGAGGATCTGCAGTGGAAGTGGTCTCCAGCTACAAGTACTTGGGTGTACACCTAAATGACAACCTCAGCTGGAGCAACAACATCACCAGCCTGATAAGCAAAGCACATCAGAGACTCTACTTCCTCAGGCGGCTGAGACGAGCTGGTCTGAGAAGCTCAGTCCTCACCTCCTTCTCCAGGTGTGCAGTGGAGAGCATCCTGTGCTCCAGCATCAACGTGTGGCATGGAGGCTGCACAGCTGCAGAAAGAAGAGCTCTGCAGAGAGTGGTGAAGGCTGCACCTGACTGCTGGATTCAGTCTCCCACCATCAATGACATCCACCCTTCTAGATGCAGGAAGAGGGCCACCTGCATCATGAAGGACCCCACTCACCCAGCACACACACTTTTTGCCCCGCTCCCCTCAGGAAGGAGGTTAAGGAGCATTAAGTGTAGAACCACTAGACTGAAGAACAGCTTCTACCCTGAGGCTGTTAGACTCATGAATCTCTAACCAGAATAATCACTGTAAAAAATCACATCATGTTGCTGCTGATCTGTTTCAATGTTGCTGCTGATCTGTTTCAATGTTGCTGCTGATCTGTTTCATGTTGCTGCTGATCTGTTTCATGTTGCTGTGTTCATGCATGCTCATCTGCTCACACAGAGTCATGCTCGTGCTGCAGTTCGGGGTATTGCTTTTATACTACTGGTGCTTAGTGTATTTTTAGTTTAACCTTTTTCTTAGTTCATATCTTTAATCTAATACTGTTTTCCTTTTACATTTTATACTTTGGTTGGATGGGACCCAGTGTACACAATGTCGTTCCACCACATGTACCATATGTGGTGTGTATAACAAATAAAGAACCTTGAAACCTTGAATCCTTGTAAACACTCATCATTTTACCGCAGCTGTAAGACTGCTTTTTAATGTCGGAGTTCTGATAATATTATGACTTTATTCTGGCAATTTACAAGTTTATTCTTATAATATTATTACTTTATTCTCGTAATACTAGAACTTTATTCACATAATTTTATGAATTGTAATTTTTTTTCCCCTTAGTGTGGCCCTAAAGCTCCATCATAATGAAGTACTGCGTTCTAGATAAAAATAATAAAGTAATTTAGCAGACAATATTATAAATTATTTTTAATAAATACACAAAGACCCTTAGTTTTTTTCTTTTTGATCCCATTAGGACCTTCTAGCACTATATGGAAAACAGGACTGACTATCGTTAACCGCAAAAACGTCCATCTTAGCAAATGTTCTGTTCTTCCAGCCACATTTCTCAACATGATGTAGAAACACGGGGCAGATGTGCATAAAATGCGATGGTTTTTATCATAAATTGATCATTTTAGAACAAGTTGACTAAGAAAAAAAATCAAGAATGTTTTCATTCTTGTCAGAACTAGCTGACCAGCTGGTTTTAATCACACAAGTTGCTCTGATGAAGAGTGAAAAATGGCAGATTCCAAATATTTTTTTCTAAAAATGACCAAATGTATGTTCTCAACTTGAACCAAGAGAAGTACTGTGGAAGAACCTGATGTGGACATTTTAGACAAAGACTTGTAGAGTTTGTCCCACGCAGATTGAACCGTTTTCTATAACTGGATATTAATGACTAAATAAAATCATTTAGTCTCGTTCTTTTCCACTTGATGTGCGTCTGTGCTCACGCACAAACTGCAAAACCCCCGTGTGCATTTGCTGAGATGAACGGCTTCTGCAACGTTCAGTTTAAGGACGGGTAATTGTTGAGGTGGTTAGGGACGCGGGGAGTGCTTGTACCATTGTGAAACGGGGAGTGCAGAGACTGAGTGGTGGGGGAAGTTTGGTGAGGGGGCTCTGTGGGGCCTGAAAAGGACACGAAAAGAGTGAGATAGTACACATGACAAAACACAACATACAATAATAGAAGAAAACAAAGCTCAAACATGCAGCGGAAGCTCGCAAATCTAAGATTTTGAGGTAAATCAAAATAAAAATGAAGCCAAACTGATCCGTATCAAAACTCTACGACAGTCCTAACGTGTTAAGTCTACTTTGTAGCGAGGTCACACACAAATCTGTCACAATGAGTAAATAAAAGGTCAAAAACTCAATCCGTGCAAAAGCCTCTAAAAACGCTTTCTAAATGACCCGGGATGATTCAAAGATGACCAAAACAATACGACTACAAAACAGTTATTTCTAATAAATAAAATTAATGTGTAAACACAGCCTATTCTTTTAAAATAAACCAAACAGGCTTGCGTTCACATGCCATGAGGATGTTTTATTGTTATAGTTTGCAAACATATTAACATAAACCGTGCAGAAAGGTGAGCTAAGTAGGATATCTATGCTATGATTTGCTTTGGTTTTTAATAACAGGATAAAATTAGCATGCGTTAACTTCCATTGGCACGCATGGGTTACCTTTGCCCGCCTCTATAGTGGGCTGAATAAGAGCTTCAGGGAGAAGAGAAAGAGAAAGATAGAAGTGTGAGATATTGAGCAAAAAACACTAATTTCTACCCTTTATTATTGTTTCTTGAAGAATGGTGGAGGAATGATTAAACCATAAGACAAATACAAACTTGACTCACTTATATCCATGGCTGTATAGGCCTCTTCTGTAATATTGGGGCCAGGGCCCTTGATTGTCGTTGCACTTAAGTAAAACTTGTAGAGCACACTGGTGTTCAGGCTGCCCAGGGTTAGCGTCGTCTCGTTAAACTCGAGGTTGATCACCCTCAGTGGTCCCAGCTCATTCGTGGTATTGACTGTTAAAAGAACAACAAGGGGCCACGGATGAGTAACGAGAGCCGGAATGAAAAGTAGACGAGAAAATAAAATGTGCTAATTTTACCTGGTTGGTATTTGAGGGTGTATCCTGTGAGGCGGCCATTGTTGCTTAGTGGTGGGCCCCAATTCAGAGTGAGAGAGTCCAAACCAGGATTGATCACGTTCAGAAAAGAAGGAGGACCTGGGACTAAAACGACAGGTTCATGGACTGTTAGATGTAGTAACATTCATCTTTTATTTCTCATTGACTGACTCATCAGTTTAAGCTTTTTTTTTTTTTTTTTAACTGCTACTTCTCTACAAACCTACCAACTTTTAAAGAAAGGATTATTCATTTTAATCTGGAGAAGTTTAAATGTGAATAAATGCAGGTTTGTTTGAATGCAATCCGTTTGTATTCGAAAGTCAGAGCTTGTGAGTTCCAAATGGTTTTCGTGTCCCAAAATATGAGATTGTTGACCAAGTACAACCTCTCAATTCAAAAGTCGTAATAGACGCAGGTACAAACTTTTTATTTTCACTTCTGTCAGTTTATTTCTCTGTAATCCAGTTACACACACGCGCAACACAGTCCAGCCACTACTAGTGAACACCTTCCTAGAGTGTTTGAATGCAGAGTGGATTATTAGTTATTGATTTATTTAGCTAATCGTAGTGAGCCTGCTCACTGAGCAAAACATTTGCAAATACCTTCAGTATTTTGACTTGCAAATGGAACATGAAGTTGAGTCGCATGTCATTCTTAAATCTGAGCTCCGGCTTTTGGGATAAATGGAACAAATAATTTTCAAACTGGCAATTCTACACCAGACTCTTTTTCTATATATAAATTATTGGATACAATTTTGTTCCACTCAGTTGAGCCACAGCCTCGTATTGGGTGAATAAAATGTCATGTCAGGATGTTGCTTTGAGCCTACAGGTACCTCCTTCAGGTGTTTCAAAAGTCTTGTTGGAGCTGTGAGGTCCTTCTCCTTTGCTGTTAAGGACTCTAATGAAGATGTTGTACACACTGTAGGGGTGAAGTCCCGGCAGCGTTCCCTCACTGCGGTTTCCACTGAAAGTTAAAACTTGCTCTTTATTATCTCCTTCCCCCTCTGCCTCCTGCCGGCCACGCTCACGACGGTAGTACACCTAAAGAAACGGCACAGAATGAGTCTGATATGTTGCGATTGTTGCTCCACAGGGACGAAGGCGGTTCGGCTGCGAGAAGTCCAGTCCAAATAAAAACCACATACGTTATATCCTTGTAATTCTCCTTGAACAGAAGAGACAGAAACGGGCTCCCAGTGGACTTCAGCCAGTGTGCCGTTACGAACCATGACCTGCACGTTGTCAGGAGCAGCCAAAGGCACTGCCAAGCAGAGATACCAAACCGTTAATCGACTGTATACATGCTCATATTTGAACATATCTACATTTGCTTCTTCACGTGTAATGTTTCAGATCTAAAACAAGATATTCATAATAAAATACTCCACAAAATATACTTACAGTCTTCTCCTGAGTAACCAGTTACTACGTCCGGTTCAGGGCCGTTGCCGTAATTATTGAAGGCTTGAACTTTAAATTCATACGGCACGTAGATTGGAGCTCCAGTGACAATCAGTTGAGAAGAGTTGACAACATTTTTGGATTTCCACTCTCTTTCCAGGTCCTTCTGTCTCCAATGGACTTTGTATTCCAGACCGGGTCCATTAGACTGGAAACCCGTTAGTGGCTGCATGGAGAGAAATGCTAATGAGACTGTTTTAAGGGATGGGAGTTACAGAATGGAGTGTTTTGTCCGCACAGTTGTCGTTTGCAAAAAAAAGGATCAAACCTTAAAGGTTTCTTACCGTCCAGGAGATGACCAAGTTGCCAGGTTCTGTTCCTTTACCTTGAACATTTGTTGGATTTTCATCTGGAGCTGGGAAAAAAAAAATTATGTGTACAATGAGATTTTTAACATGTCTGTGATTTATTTTTGGGAAGAAGGTGATCATGTTTGTACCTGCAGGGTTGGTCCTGTATTGTCGCGAAGGCCAACTGGGCTCGCTCAAGCCGACTTTATTCCGCGCCTGGACTCTAAAGGAGTAGTACACGTATGGGGAGAGCTGCAGCTGGGCTGTGGTGCTGGTACCAGGAACATCTGTCAGGTTGACCCAAACTCCCGGCTCGTGGAGCGAATCTTCGTACTGAATCAGGAAGTCTGGGGAAGACGTAAAAATTCAAGATTCAAAACTGAAATGAAGCAAAGATTTGATGCAACCTAAGACTTTGATTTTTTTTAACTCATTAGCATTTCTCAATTTACTGAATTGTCTTCAATTTAATTGAACAGGAGTGAACTTAACTGGATTTGAATCTGACCTGTTTGTTTTTATTTATAAGTCTGAAATTGTGTTTTATTAATCAATTAATCTGATCTGAACTTAAATAAAACAGTAAATCCCACCAGAGTGCAACAAAACAAAAAGCTTTTTTTTATTTGTAATAATTATTCCAAATGGCATCAAACCCAGCTTTAGGCAAAAATCAAATTCCTGCTTTTAATAATTGTTAATCTTCCATTTCATTAGTAACACTGATTCGTTTAAAAAATTGTGCATTTAGATGAATTTCCCACATTTGACCACAAAGATCTTCCAAAATTAACCGTTTCCCACGTGTTGCAGTTTATTTTAACATGTTTCACTCAATAAAATTCACACGCCTACGTGGTCATATGTAGCGTTCATCTAGTTTTTCTGTAAGGGAACTAAACACTTTTTAATTTTTTTTTTTTTACTTGGTAATTTGTCTAAAAACTGTCTTAAGTAAATTGCACTTGACAAAAGTGGGTCCAGAACTCAAAATGATACCAAGAAATGAATGTAAATCCATCTATTGTTGGTTAAAATACACAGAAATTGATATTATCCCTAAAAAACAAGCATGACAACACAAACAATCTGAACATCAACGCACATCTTAATACTTTATATTCAGTTATGACCGTTACTGTTTTTTTTTGTCTTTATAACAATTACAGAGTAAATATGCCATAAGCAATCATTTTGAAACTAATAATTAAGGATAATCTAAATAACATCCATTTGGTGCTTCATGACTTACATGTGGTCCTGACCATAACGTTGGGAACCACTGAGAAAATAATTATAATTTTTTCCTAAATTTACTGGTAACGTATTCATGAACTTGCTAACTAGATTTCCTCAGTATTAAAAGCATTAAATCAAGTTATTATTCATTCTAGATGGATAAGTGTTTCCAGTTTCAATGTAGACACTTGTTGAGTCAAGAGGCTCTAATCCAGGAGTGTCCAAACATTTTCCTATGTGGGACAAAATTATCAAGATGAAAAGATTTGTGGGCCACAAAAATGTGAATTTAACGCTCAACAACATGAACTATATATTGGAGAAAGGACAAAAGTTTACAAATTTTAGTGGAGAAAGAGTTTTAAATTGTTGTAAATCCAAAATGTTAAAAGACCCATAAACACTAACCATATATTTTTAATTACAGTGTATTTGATTTGATGGGTCTATGATTGTTGTGTTCGTGTATTTTGAAAGTTAATTTCAGTTTGTTCTCAGGAATAAAAGTGTAATTTGAGCAAGTGTCCTTTTAAAAAGGAGTCGATCAGCCTTTTGTATCATGGACGGCCCAAAAGGCTGATCGAAGGTCAGAAAAACCGTCCAGCTGTCAGTCGCTACAACAGATTCATAGAAGATTTGATAAAGTTGATCAACTCGTATGTAGATGATACCACGTTATATTCATGTAAAAATTACCCATTTCCTCTTGATTATTTTATCAGCTGCAATATTTAGCCAAGTTTTATGAATCATCATCCAAAGGTCTTTCTGGTAGAAACCAGTAACGGTTTTTGGTGCTTTGTACCAGGAAGTGAAAATAAAAAAGATTATAGCCAAAAGTTTGTATTTTGCTTAATATTGCTCATTTTGAGAAGATTTGTTTTTCATCAGTTTTGCTGTTACCATATTTTCTGGCGTATAAGTCGCAGTTTTATTTTTTGGGCAAACATTTGTCAGTCCTGCAACTTATATGCCGAAGCAACTTATACACCTTTTTTTTTCCCCATATTCATAACACAAATTTTGACTGACACTTAAAATTTCGAAGAACTACAACAGCGAGTCCTCCCGTGCGCGCTCGCTTCACTCAGCTGGTGCAGGCGGAAGAACGCTGGAGAGCTAGTGGCTCTGGCCGCAATGGATGGATGGATGGATGGATGGATGGATGGATGGATGGATGGATGGATGGATGGATGGATGGATGGATGGATGGATGGATGGATGGATGGGTGGATGGTGGATGGATGATAGATGGATGGATGGATGATGGATGGATGGGTGGGTGGGTGGATGGATGGATGGATGGGTGGATGGATGGATGGATGGGTGGATGGATGGATGGATGGATGGATGGATGGATGGATGGATGGATGGATGGCACTGCCCAGGCGAAATGAAGCTGGTTTGACCATTAAAGTGCATTTATTAAGGAAAAGTTAAACTGAGACACACCTTTTGGTATAATGTTGAGCAAACAAATAATTGTTTTTAAGTGTTAATCTTGTTAAATTTCGAAGAACTGCAACAGCGAGTTCTTCCGTGCGTGCTCGCTTCACTCAGCTGGTGCAGGCGGAGGAACGCTGGAGAGCTAGTGGCTCCAGCTGCGATGGATGGATGGATGGTGCCGCACCGCCCAGGAGAAATTAAGCTGTTTTGCCCATTAAATAAACGCATAATAAATGTGACTTATATAGGTTTTTTCCTCTTCATGACGTTTTCTTGACTCATGCAACTTATACTCCGGAGTGATGTATACGCCGGAAAATACGCCTAAACATCATCTAAAAAAAGGATTACCAACAAATTTGCAGAAAGTCTGCATCAACCGCCTGCTGGCCAAAATGATACCAATCTTAAACTGCAGTTGTGGACCACACAGAATCACTCCATGGGCCGCAAATGACCCTCGGGCCGCACTTTGGACACCCGTGAAGGAACTCGGCAGCAGCACTGTGTGTTTCATACTCTGAGTTGGACTGTTGTGGTCATCTCCAGGGGTCCAGGTGAGCTGAACGCTTCTCTCTGTCTGATCAGTCAGTTCCAGGTCATTTGGTGGGTCAGGTTTCTCTGCAGAAAGAACCAGAGCACAGTTCTTTATGCTGCGTTGGCAGAGACTTTCACAGTGATGCAGAACTTAAAATGTATGAGGATAAGTGAGTGAACGCCCAATGGAAATGCAGACGTGGATTTTTTTAAACACCAAGGATTGCTGGTAAAATCAAAGTTTTTAATTTGTACTTAATATCAAATAAAATCATACATGTAAAATTAAAATTAGTAACACAAAACAATGGACATTCGAAGCAAACCACCGACTGAAGGAACCGAACGAAGGCTACGCTGTGGTTTGTTTACCGTAAACGAGTGCCGGAGTAGGAGTTGCCTCTGACAGCAAGAAGAAAAAGTGAAGTTCAAGAAGAGAAAAAGATGTTAGTGACGGACATTTTAGAAAAGTAAGAAGAAGCAGAAAAATTACAACTGCAAAGATTTTCTAGGATCTAACTCAAGTCTAAACATTCAGGCACATTTGAAACAACCAGATGAAACATTTTATTCAAAAATACACAGCACAAGAAAAATATAAACAGGAAGAAGAAGAAGAAAACGAGTTAGTGAAGATTTCAGACATGTCAGAAAGTTACACAGTTTGTTTTATTCAAATGGATCTTTGGGAAAATACGGACAAAAGAAACTACTTACCAACAACAGTCAGCTTGGCGCTGGCGGAGTCCTGATCCAGAATAGTGTTAGTGATGCAGGTGTAAGTGCCCTCATCATCATCTGCCACATCACTGATGGTCAGGCTCTCCTTGCCCACCACAAACCTGGAAGTATTACCAATAACGTTTCCTAAAAAAATCACATTTTAGACACTAATCTGGTTATAGCTTCATGTTTTTGGCTGTACCTGTCGTCGCGAGGCAGCTCTCTGTCGTCCTTCAGCCAGGTCATTGTGGGAGTGAGGGTACGGTCGTGTTTGACTTTACACTCAAACATGGCGCTCATTCCTCTCTGCACCACCCTGTACTCCGGCTGTTTCAGGATACGAGTAGGCTCTGGAATACAGAGGGAAACACAGCTTTAAGGCCTAAATGCTGAAACACGACAATAGGATCAGTTTAAAATACTATACAAATATTTATATCTGAGATACTATTAGATCATGAGACCTTTGACTTCCAGGGAGACCTGATTCTCTTTCCTCCCCAGGTTGTTGGTGGCGATGCAGGTGTAGTTTCCACTATGTTGCGGCTGGGCTACATTAATTTCCAGAGTCCCATTCTTGTGAATCACATATGGGTCACCATTCTTAATGCTGATCTGAAAGTCTTTGAACCTGTATGAAAAAAACAAACCAGACAGCTTCAGTACCACAAAAAAACAGACAAAGAGCTTCATTTATTCCCTGCCCAACAGAACAATAAAAAAAATTTAAAAAATGAGAGCGGTCAGCAGGTTACTCTTTTCCATTTAAAGAAGTATGCAGAATTATGATATTTGTGGACAGTCATTTGTGTATGAGTTATATAATTTGTACTTTTCTTTAATCCATTATGTTATGAGGTCAAAGATTTGTGTTGAGTTCCAAAATTGTAACTGTTAACTACAAGGAGCTGCAACTGTTTGGGAATTTTTGGTCAAAGGTTGTGGATGTTTTTATTAGTATGACTGAGAATAACTCTGCCCACGAATCATATGTTTGGGTTAGTAGAGAGAGCTGGATGAGGAGCTGAGCGATGCTGCAGCATGCAGCTGGCAGCCAGGACACCTCTGAGTTCTGTGAACTCAACTGAACTGATAAGGGTATAAAAACAAGCTGAGGATGCAGATCACTGCAGAGTCCCGTGACTGGTCTTCAAGTGTGTACTTTATGTATATCTATGTAACCTGTCCTGAAAATCTGACCTTGCAAGTAAACACCGGTTCAAAATCTTCTCCTGCTGTCAAGTGTGGTTCGTTTTGAGCAAGTGAGATAAAGCAAGAATATTTTTCTCCAATAGTAACATATCTCATTTGTATTATAACATGGTTATCTGTTAAAATAATGCTGTTTGGTATTTTGTAAGCTTTAAGACAACTACAGAAATATTAGGATTATGACGCTACTTTGAAGGAGACATCCAGATTGCAAGTGTCTGAATCATGTAAATCTAAGTTTGCCCAAATGAATTATCCCCAACTGTCACTTCTTGACTTTGCTTAATTATGAAGTAAAAAAAACCTCGCATGTTAAGGCTGTATTATTCTCTGACATTAACCAAAAACCACTGGACAAGCTTCTTCAATCAAGGTTCCCAGTCTTTCATGAAAACTAAATTTCCTGAGTAAATCCTGAACATCCAGGAGATATTTCAATCACATGAAGTGCTCAGAACTTCACATCCTCTAGGGACAAGCGGACGTCACCTCGAGGTTGTCCGGTGGACCAAGTGAAATAAGTAAAGTGCTATGTGTTGTCATCATTGTATGTTCCCATACAATGGCAAAATTGGTTCTCATTTAACCCATCGCACCTGGGATACACCCAGGTGGAGCAGTGGGCAGCTATGTAAGCACCCGGGGAGCAAATGGGGATTAGGCGTCTTGCTCAGAGACACCGCAACATGTGGGCATGGGGATCAAGCCTGGGACTTTCAGGTCCCGACCCCCATCTCGGCCCCCAATAGACATGGTTTAAAGTTTTCTGTCGCCACAATGGATTTCTGTAAATTTTAACGTCTGTAAAAATAAAAGGGGGGCACGTGTGTTTTGTGTCAAAGCAGTGTCTTTTTAAAGCCATTCAATCTAATGATGATACAGGGATTAAACTGACACCTTCAACAAATAAAGAGAACAAGAGCCACAGTTTGACCCAATCAAAGCAGGGCGGGGCGGGGTTGGACGCGGCAGGTGATCGCAGTGTTCCTAACTTAAACAGAGACTGCAGGTGAGAGCATAATTAGAGTTGATGAGAGCTTAATTATACCGTATAACTTATGCTACTAAAAAGCCACCATAGCCAATCAATAAAGATTCATGTACTATGTAGAGATGCACCGATCCGAAACCAGTATAGGTATCGGTACGATATTGAAAAACGCCTGGATCGGGTATCGGTGACGATGTGACCGATCCATGACTGGGCAGATCTATTCACTCTAATTCTATGCTTTGTGGTCTGAGTGACGTCACTAGTGTACTGACTGAGCAAATTAAAGTTGTGTTGTTTTTACATGTTTGACAAAACTTGTGAAGCTCTTGGTGTTTAAGTGTGCTGTTATAGTGCAGAGTTTTCAATAAATTTGTAATTCTGTACATTCATGTCTGTGTTAAACAAAACAAATGTTTTAAGTTAATTCAGCACTGGGTTTGTAAGCTCAAACATCCAGGTAGACAACAAAAATGGCTAAATCATGTCATCTGGACCTGTTTCAGAAACGGCTCCAGATGACATGATTTAGCCATTTTTGTTAATTCAGCACTGTTTTTCTGCATCGGATCGGTTCTAACAAACGGGCATCGGATCGAAAGTGAAAAAGGTGGATCGGTGCATCCCTAGTAGAACATGGACTCAATGATACTAGAATACAAGGATTAATACTTGAACACATCAAAATCTTAGAAAGATTATATTTTAATCAGCAGATCAGTGCTGAGTTTCCCCTGATTTTGTATGTTTTTCTGAAATTCCCTGAGTTTTTCCTGTCTGGACAATGTGAAAGTCATTTACAGGTTTTCCCTGATTTCCAGAGCTTCTGGGAAACATGTAGGTTTGTTGAGACGTCTCACTTAACCTCTTAGTCAGTCCCTTTTTGCTGTACACATGCTGTATATAATGTCTGCTTTATATCTTTATACCTGCTCCATCACAAGAAAAAGATTCAAGCCTGATCTTAGAAGTAGCTTTTAAGTCTAACTTTGAACATAATGTTGTGGCTAACTTTGCGTTGGTGAAATTGTGACCTGAGTCTTACCATGTGATGGACGGTAATGGAGAGCCAAAGGAGAAACAGTCAAGTAAAGCAGGGTTGTTGGTGATGACACGATACACTTGGTTGGGTGGAGTGAGCACTCTTGGTGGTTCAGCTATTGGGAAGAAAATAAATCATGCTAATTTGATCCATGACAATCTTTAGTATTATAATATGTTGGAACTTACCAAGAACACTAACAAAAGCATTAGCCATTAGGTAGCCAAACTCATTGGATGCATTGCATTGGTAGACAGAACTGGTCCCTGTCTTCACATTGCTCAGAGTCACAGTGTCATCATCTACCTCGCGTCTGTGGTCCATAGGAGCATCTGGAACAAAAACAAAGGCAGATAATACCATCTTTCATTTATAATATTAAAACTCCTCTGGTAGCGATTGGTTTCTATTGCACCAGTACACTGAGTAAACTTTTATTGACAACCATTAAAAATTCATTAGAAATCGTCAGCTCATTTCTCACTGCAACAAAGCAAGCTGATTTGCACACTGTGCACTAATCTAGGCATGCAGAATGTAATCAAATGTTGTTTTTCACGGTATTGTTTTAGTTGACTCACTCTCTAACGGAATTCCATTGACAAACCAGTGGATATCCGGTTTGGGCTCTCCATTAACTCTGCAAGTTAGGATGCCGGTCTCATTCGGAGCGAGGATCAGGTTCCTGGGAGCACTGACCCAGAAAGGAGCCGCTAGGAACAATGAAGAATAATAAAAATAAAGGAGCATTTATATAAAAAAAGAATGTGCACGGAATTTTAGTTAACTTAAAGGATAGATAAATAGTTGCATCATTCAAAATATTACAGAGAGTTTTACTCATAAACCAAAGCAAGTCAACAAAATACTTTTTAGTAGAATCAGCTATTCTAATAAAAAGGCAAGAATTAACATTTTAGAAATGTATTATAAAATTAATAATTATGCAATATAAAAATAAAACACCTTGTGTTGATTTCGTGTACCTTTTACATAGACTTTAATGGTGTGGTGTGCAGAGCCCAGCTTGTTGGTGGCGGTACAGCGGTAGTCACCAGCATCATTTTCCTCCACATTCGAAATCTTCAGTGTTTTCTTGAAGTTTTGGAATGACGTCCTGCTGCTCGGCAGCTCCCCTTCTTCCTTCTGCCAGAAAACATCTGGAGTGGGCCTGTCATAGAAAGTATGAGCGACATTTTCATGTAAGCCTGTTGCATTTCCTTTCAATTGACAGAAAACATCCGACAGAGGACACGTAAGTTCCTCATACATGATGAGATACCAAAAAATGCCATCTTACAATCCTTCAGCGATGCACTCCAGCTCCAGAGTTTCTCCTTTTAGAACCATCTTGGTGCTCGTGGCGCCAAAAGGCAACATGAAACCAGGGCGACGCTCCCCCTTTGAGCTGCCTGAGGACACAGGAGGGAATCAGAGCCAGGTCAAAGCCTTCAACTTGGAAGAACTCATAATGTTTAAGAGAGAAGTGTAGGATTTAAAACTGTGATGCTGGTGGACAATGATCAAAAAAGGCAAAGGTACTGCAGAGTAAAAACAGCAAACTGATGTGAGGACATGACAAGACGAATGGATAGAGAGTGAAGGATAATTGAGATCAATTGTGGTTCCCAAGGGCCACTATCCTGCACGTTTTAGATGTTCCTGTGCTTCAACAAATGGAAGTATGGGTGATTAACAGATTTCCGCAGAACTTCAGGACATGCTGAAGAGGTATTTCAGCCACTGAATCAGGTGTGTTAGGGCTGAAAAACAAATATGATGCAGGATAACAACTCTTAAAGGACACGATAGGACACCACTGAGAAATACCAAAGGTAGACTGCTCCAAAAGAACGGGGGCAAGAGGTCAACTAGAGAGAAACAGGCCAGCCACATATGTGCATATCTTACTTCTAACCTACAAAGCTCTCAACAACCTAGCTCCATCTTATTTTAGAAATCTTATTGTTCCATATTTTCCCAACAGAGCACTTCGCTCTCAGACTATATTTATTTATTTACTGTTCATTCCTACACAGGGGAAGGGGGTGTGGCCAAGTTAAAGGAAGTTCTTTGCACCATGGATGAAATAGGAGGCAGGGGTCACACTGACAGGGCTGTACGGGCGTAAACCAGCAGCACTCACCGCTATAGAATTCAGTAATATTGTATAAAGCAGCCAGAGTCGCATTTACAATTTCCACTGCAATTTTATAAGAAAAAAAATCACAAGAATGTAAAAATGGGAAACACAAAACATTAAACTTTGCCTTTTGGTTCATTAATTGGCAGTTTAGTTTTTAAAAGGTCCTTAAATAACTCATTTATAGTGTGTTGCTGAAAACATTTGAGCTCCTTGATCACAGCAACATCACTGTGACAACAACATGGACATTATATTACAAAACAAGAGAAGGAAACGAGCATCTGTTACAGTTTAGTGTGAGCAGCATCAGGAAGAAGAAATGAGGACTCAGACGTAGAAAAGGCAGACTGCAGAGGTCAAATATTGGTCTTGAATCAAACTGTGACACAGCAGAGCTGCTCCCTAAAACCTTTAGCATCAACATAATGAGTGGGGATTTATTTGGTCTTAATTTGACACGTTTCTTTGACTTACTGTCCAGCACCGTGACTGAAATGGGCTGCTTCTGCTGGATAGTTTGGGTGTGGGGGAAGCGAGCGTAGCAAATGTAGTCACTCCGGGTGTCTTCTGGGAGGACATTCGAAAAGTACAAATCTCCATTCAGGGCCTGAGACACTCGTTTGTCCAGGGTCAGCTTCTGAAAATCTGAAAAATAAGCCAAAATATAAAAATAAGTAAATAGGTCTTTGATTTTTAGCAGATCAAACTTATGACTTTACTATAAAAGTGATTTTTTTGTATGGGATACTTAAACATGTATGGAAATAACTCACTGTTATCCATCCAAAAGATGACAGGAGGAGGCAGTCCTGCTGGAGGTCGGCATGGCAACACGAGGGGGGTCCCCATCTGCACCATGATAGCCTCATTTTTCTCCTTTGACCATAAGGGGGACCCTGTGAGCCCAATTAAAATCAGTGTGAACAGGAGTGATCCAAATATGTTTTCATCTACACTTTAAAAAGGGAAAAATAAAAATAAAAAAGAGGCAAAAACTTTAAGAATGAATGTAAGAAGATTTCCTGAGTGGTCTTACGGGACTGTCTGATGACGATGTTATTAGACAGAGCCGCTCCGTGCTCGTTTTGAGCTCTACACTGATACGTTCCCTCGTAGGCTTCAGCCTTTTCCCCGCTGATGTCGATTACAAGAGTCCCAGAACCAGGTTTCATCAGGATTTTGGGGTCTTTGTCCACGTCAAAGTGAGTACCGTTTCTCGTCCAGGAGAAACTAAGATCAAAAAGACAAGAAGCAGAAAATAAATTAATATAAAAAAAACCCTGAACAGCTAGTTCAACTCCTTTGATTGCGTTTATCAAGCGGGTGGACTCCCAGAACAGTAGGCCTGTCGCAATAAACAATAAATCAATTAATCACACGATAAATGAAACTTAACCTTACTTTCATTTATCGGCTTTATCGTTTTTTCATGTCTCTTTCTACTGAGGACAAAAGGCTAAACTCCGTTGCTCTTCACTGACCCTTCCCTTTCACTTTAAAATCCATTTTAACCGTCCAAAATCTGGTTTTTGGATTGTTAAAAGCAGCTAAGCTGAGAAGCTAAGCTACGAGCTAAGCTAAGAGGCCGACATCGGGGAAAAAAACGTCTCGTCGAAACTCCGAAATTCACAGTTGAACTACGTGCCTTCATGTAAAAAGTTGTTTTTCTCTGCAAAAAGAAGCTGAGAACTTGTTTACCGATGTTTTTTTATTAAAAGCTTTGTGTGAAATATGCTATGTAGGGGTGCACCGATTGCAATTTTCTGGCTACTCACCGATCTCTTAAAAGTCTGACCTGCTGATTCCGATTATGGCCAATACCAATTTTGTTTTATAAATGACACTGTCAGGTGGTATAAGGTCACAATGCACCTTCAATTTTCCAATCATTTTATTGAAAAATAGACCCTTGAACAATATCCAAGAAACAATACAAACTTGTTTTAACTGACCATGAAGTAGTGCACTGAAATATAAATTAAGTTCAGACAATTGTTGTTAAAACTACAATTTTTTTGTGGGTAAAATTGGTTTCTCATGTAAGTATCAGCCGATCTCCGATTTCCCAATATTAAGGAAATCGAGGCCGATAAATCGGCCGTTCGATTTATGGGTGCACCCCTAATGCTATGCTAAAGAGCTCAAACCACATCGAGCATCCACCATTCTGAGAACTGAAGAGAGACAGCCCATGTCATGTTAAGGGGCCTCCCTCCCATTTTTCTTAAAGAGACATGCTGCTCGCTCCCTTACTAGCCATCCTTCGGTTTAAACAGTTTTATATTGCCATCCAGTGGTAAAAAAAGGTACTACAGGCAAAACCAATTAAAAATGTCTTCTTAAATTTGACAATAATTACTAATTATTGTCAAACTTTAAACAAAATTATTGTTTATCGCAATAATTTCTGAGACAATTAATGTCCAGCAAAATTTGTTACTGTGACCGGCCTACAGAACAGTTGCTATGGTGATCTGATGAGGCCAACAGAACCAGAGCTGTGATTACACGGACTTGAACACTGACGGGTTTTAATAATTTATCCAGCGTTTGGATTAATTGTCTCACCTGGGATGAGGCTTCCCTTTGGCCTCGCAGTGGATGACGATGTTCTCCCTGGGATCAAAGATGTAATCCTTTGGGGACTGCAGCGTAATGGTGGGAGGTTGAGGCACTGGAGAAACGTGCACAAAAGTTCATCTCAGACTCACATGAGCTAACACTGAACGGTTTATAAGCAACGTGCAACAGACATGAACATTTGGTCAAACTTTGTGGAGCTGAACCACCACAGCAAACAGACCAGACTCGTATCTAAAATCACACCAAACCAAGCAAAAACACTCAGCACAATTATATTGTTGTAAAAACTGCATGCACATCACTGCACCCAAAAGTAAAATGCGAGGACAAAAACTACACTCAAGAGTCATAGCAGCATTTGGGCCAACTTACATCCTTCCAGTACTTTAGCTTTTTGTCCACCATGACATGTCGAACCACAGTGACAGAATATTGAGGAAAGCCGTTAGTTTGGTTTGCAAGGAACAAACAGCAGGTTTGGCAAAATACAAGCACCTTAAAGAATTTGACTGAGCTTGTGTTTTTGTGAAGCATGTGGAACGAATGCAAGAAAAGTAGCTGATTACAAGTATTGGAAAATATTTCCTCACTTTACAGCGGGAAATGAAAGTAACATGCATGATTTAAGTTATAGTGATGAGGATGAAACTTACGATCAAGAGGCACTTCGAGTGCTGAAATCATGTGGCTCAGGAGGATCAGCAGCACAGCTCCAAGACCTGGAACCCACTTTAGATTCCTGTCCATATTCCTAAGTTTCAGTGTCGCCATGATCTTTTTCCACCAGGTTTTACAGAAAGTTACAGGTTGTTGGGGTGAAGAGGAACAATCCGCCCTGCACAGATGAGAAAAAAAAAGGCTCATTTTGTCCTTTATAAACCGCAGATATTGCATTAGATTCACCACAGTGGTCTTAAAATTCATTTCTAATTGTTTCCATGCCCCTGGAGATACAGCTGCATCATAAAGTAGTACCTACTTATTCCAAAAAAGTTAAGCCAGGTCCTCTGGATGGGTTCAGAAAACAAAAAAATTGTTGAAGCGTTTCGTCTTTCATCTAAAAGACGTCTTCAGTCTGAGGAGCTGTATTCAGATCAGTCTCTTAAATTGCACCTTCTCAAAGTGGATCAACCAGGTTGTTGTTGACATTCAAGACCAGCTGCTCACATGATCAAGGAGGACCATGAGCCTAACAATGGATCGTTAGCACCTGATGGCTGTTGTTTACTATTCACAGAGGGTTGAGTGATACTAGCAATCACAGCATTGTAAGAGGGGGACAGTTGAACACGGAGGCCTTCGCCCCCGTTTAATGATGGGCGGGTTCTTTTCACAAAGATGGCCTCCTTTACTCCTCTCTCAAACCATCGTTCCTCTCTATCAAGGATGTGCACATCTTAGAAAAGCCAATTAGTAAAGTTCTCTATCTTAGGAAGCCTCTTTAATTTTAAATGATTTATTTTAAATTGAAATTCCATGCCGATCATGCGACTCATCCATCAATCCGCCAATTGTGTCATGTCCAATTTTATTTTGAAAAAAAAAAAACGTGATTGAACGAGTCTGTGAAAAACGAACCGTGAATTAGTGACTCTATGCTTTGATCGTGCACGGACTAGCTGTTAGCTAATCAATCCAGTGAGAATTTTTTTTTTTTAACTTTCATCAAACAGAGGATGTTCAGAGAGCTGTCTACAACAGGTAAGATATTCTTTGTTCATAACCTTTCCACAAAGCACAACTTCTGCATTTCAAGTCTTGTAAATCACATGACATACATGCATTTAGTCTATAACCCTTACTGGAGTAAAACAGGTATAAATATTTAGTCTGTACAAGTGAAGAGTGTCTTTTATTTTTTTGCTAACTCTGACCTTCTCATGACTCCGTACCTGGAGTACAACATTTTAAGTCTTGAGCTGTGTAAGTGGTTTGTCTGGTGGATAAACCATCATTCTACCAGCGTAGCCAGAAGTCAAAACAAACTGAATTCCAGGTCTTGTAACTTAAACAGCTTCTGTGAGTGCGTGCGTGCGTTCGTTCGTCTTTCTGGTTTGCATTTCTTCTAAAGCAGAACCACAAACTGAAACACACGCCGTCACACGGGACACGTGCACAACTGCCTCTTCTTAGATGTGCTCACTTGAAAACCCAAGACATGAGTTCACTCGGATGTAAAAAAAAAAAAAATCACAGCTATGATACACGCAGACTGGCACATGCCTGTGTAAACACGCAACTTTAAACGAATCATCCTTGGCAGTGTGTCATGTAGATCAGGTCACACATGAGTGCGGGTGATCCAGCGTTCGTTGTGCAGTGAATCACAACATCATGTTGGCAGTAATCCGCTTCTGGAAACTGCACCACAGGGTGAAGAAACTGTGCGCCACGTCTCTGTACACAACTTGCAGAGTATAAAGACGTGCATTATCAGGCTGTAAATAAATACATTTACAGTTTCACTGCACTACATGCCTCTCTTCCAAAAAACTAGACATTTTAGCCTTTCTAGAGCAATATACTGTTTAAAATAATATTCAGCCTGCTAAATTTATACTTTAACGTGTTTTTATTCGTCTCTGTTTGTATATCTGTCACTTGCTGCGCGTTGCACACCAGACTGTTGCTGAACTATCAGAGGAAACATTGTCAGCAGAAATATTCTCGTCAGTTCAATCACTGTACATCTAGAACAGTACAACCCAAAAGTTCAACCCAGTTCAAGATGTCTACCACAACTAACTGACCTCGGCCAACACAAACAAAAGGCTATACTTCAGCCAATTGTATCAATATTTACCTAAAGTTTGGTGTAGAAGCTGAGATTCATACCAGCACATACTGGGAGTGCGACACCTGACATAACATTTTGGCACTACCTGTCACCGTCTATTAGCAAAAATGTCATAAATCACTAGATGGATTCTAATAAAACCCTCAGGAAGTGATTATTGGATGTAAATCTACAACCAAATAATTGGAGTAAATACAAATCAAGATGGCTGCCACAGTTAACTGATCTTAGCTAACATAAACACGTCTGAAACTTAATTACATTTACAGAGATTGAGCTACATTTTTAAGTTAGCTGAGCTTAAGTCCAAGTTGACCAGATCCGACCTTGAAAAAATAGTCCATGTGTTCGTTACGTCCCGGCTGGACAACTGTAACACGCTTTATGTTGGGGTCAGACAGGCGTCCCTTTCGCGTCTCCAGCTCCTCCAAAATGCTGCAGCTCGGTTCTTAACAGGAACTCGTGGATTTGATCATATTTCACCAGTTTTGTCCTCCCTTCACTGGCTCCCTGTACAGATCAGAACTGATTTAAAGATTCTCCTGTTGATCTTTAAGAGCATAAATGGCTTTGCACCCTCTTATCTCTGACCTACTCCAACCTTATGTTCCTTCTCAGGTGCTGAGATCATCTGACCAGCTGCTTTAGGTTGTACCAAGCTGAAGCTCAGAGGAGATCGGGCTTTTTCAGTCATGGGCTCTAAACTTTGGAACAATCTGCCTCTCAACATTAAACAGGACACTTCACTTCCTGCTTTTAAATATCTCCTAAAAACAGTGTGATTTGATTTAGTATGTCATTGTTTTGTGTTTTTGTTTCATTTCTGATGCTTTTAATTATATCTTGTTATTAATCGTTCTTTAATTACTGCCTTGATCTTATTATTAAGCACTTTGGTAACAGCTGCTGTTTTAATCTGCACATACGATGACTTCTAACACATCTTGCAAGAGTACAAACACAGCTGAAACAAAACAGCTATAACTTTGTACCTTTTCGTCATAGGACGACCAATGCTATCAGAAAGTAAGACGTACACAGGAAAGTGATGGCTTTAGATCCATGTGAAGGTCAAGCGATCGTACACACACTTGTATTGGTGGTTACTACTCTGCATGTCTGATGAGATGTAGAGAGTTAATGAATACTCTGGAAGATGTTTTCCTGCTGAGCTACGCAATGAGTGTGAGCTAACAGCCTCGGGACACAGCTAATTATGCTGACACGCCCTATTGGATACTGTGGGATAAAGACAGCAACATCAATGAGTACATTAGAGGCAGTCCGTGCACGCTAAAGCTCTGTATCCCGTTGTGGGAAACAAAAAAAATGCATAATGATCGGCCAAATTTAATATCTATTTGTAGATTGATTATATTATATGATGCTTCATGAAACAGATACAACTGATAGACAGTGGTCAAAGTGAGCTGAAGCTTCAGATAAAATTTCTATTAAAGAAATACAAACTGAACTTTTTATAGCAACTTTTAGAAGATATTCGCTGACAAGAAAATAAATATGTTAATGGAGATGTTATAAAATGTAGTGCTGAAAAAACAAACAAAAAAATGGTCCAAAGGAGGTGAAAAAAATGAGTAATTTAAATATGTATCAAGTTGGCATCTATTAAATTAAACTTGGGGAAAAATAGTTTGTTAGTTTTTTAAATCACTTGTTTGAACAATAAATAATATCCTAAATGAAAACAACACAAACTGATTGAATATTTGTTGTGAATTTGTCAGCAACGATACCTTAATTTGAAAGGTTTTCCTGTAAAAACTAATATAAATTATGCTTCAAATGTGCTGTACGTTTTGCAAGAATGAGAGAAGATTGTATTTTTTTTTACATTCTTAAAATAAATAAAAATAAAAACATTAAAATCTGGTGCAATTTAATTTACCACGGTTGCAGCTTAGAGGAGAAAAAGTGGCAAAAGCAGCAAACAAGAAGAAAATATTGTGCACTAACAGTGAAAATGATTATTTTTAATATGCTTTACAAAATGATCTAAAATTGAAGCTTATATTAAAGAAAAAAAGTGTCAAGCTTCATTTAATTTGTACAAAACTAGCTGCAAAAAAAAAGTTGTAAAGACAAAAAAACAAACACCTGAAACCATTTCATGTGCAACGTTCTCAGAGATTCAGCAATTTACAGGTTTCAGAAGTTCAGTTTGCTGAGGCAGCCATCTTGTATTGTGTTGACTCTAATTATTAGTCAGTTGTAGACGCACATTCAAAACTGACTTCTTAGAGCACAAGTGTCAAACTCAAGGCTCGGGGGCCAAATGTGGCCCTTGTTGACGTCTTATCTGGCCCCCAAGATGATGGGTGAAACGTAAAATATTTCTATCGCTTGAATTTTTTCAGTAATCTTTGGTTATGATGTCCAAAGCACAACAGAGAACATCAAATGAGAACAATCAAACGCTTGTTGAGGAACACATGACCAAAAAAAGATGTCGGGTACCTGACTTTAGCTAATGTAGTTTCTGAAATTGGCCCTTAGTTTGAAAAAGGTTTTATTTTAGCCCCCCTTTTTTAAAGTGAGTTTGACACCCCTGTCTTAGAGGTTTCATTAAAATCCATCCAGTAGTTCTTAATATTTTGCTAACAGACTGTTCAGTCCAATGGATAATGCCAGGTTTTACAATCAGGTAGAGCTCAAAGTTTGGAATGACTCTCAGCTACTGCCACACCAAATGTTAGCTCAGTTATACCATAAAAATGGCTGACATAGCTATTTTTGTGGCAGCCAATGTAAATCAAAAGAACTCCAAAATATAATAAGTTGTATTTGCCAACCTAATGATTACTTTCTAAAAGTTTCATTAAAATTTGTTCAATCACTCATGAGATATTTTACAAACAAGTGCACAAAAGAGGCAAAAACATTATCATCCACCTTTGCCTTCAGTGCTGGATGATAATGATCAAAACCACTGATGTTCATGTTAGAAATTCCCTGTGACTTAAATAATCACACACCATAACATTTAGCTTAAAGTCTTGAAATGACAAGGACAAAAC